TAACCCACTAAAAGTTAAACTTTTAGCGGGGGATCTGAGGGTAGCCCAGTTGTGCTTGGTGAGTTTCCACTCCAAATGCTCAAGCCTCCAGCCTTTCGGGTCGCTTGCGGAGGGAAATTTGGCCCAGGTCACAAGTTTCATCGAGGTGCTCCCGCCCACGCAAGCCAGTATCTTTGGGCTGCGGCTAAGGGAGAGGCGAGCGCAGCAGAAGTGGGTGTGTCGCAAAAGAGGGAACCCTACTCAAAAGGGAACCTGTCAGGATGAGGGGGCCGCTGTGTTTTTATAGAGGCAGCCATATAAGATTGTCCCTTCCAAGTGGCAACCGTCGTGCATCTTTGCGAGCTGTAAACTGAGCCTTCGGAACATATGAGCTTGCCCAGTGGTCGCTTTTTGTGTATACAAGTTTTCCTGACATTCTGCTTCATCATATTTTTCGTTATCAGGATCAGCAACTGAGATGCCTTGACCGAACTGTTCCTATCTTCCCAGAGCTCGAGTTGATAGTTGTTTGACCGGAGAAGAAATAAGCATATCTAGGTCCCGCAGTAGTGCCCTTTTACCCCTTTTTTGGGGGGCTGAAATAGACTACAGAAAACAGGGGGTACCCTTATTCTAACCTCTCTACTGGAGGACCTAGATATTATGGAGTCAAGTGCAGATGTGAAGTCAAGGTCGGGATGCAACCTTGTAGAGACCACGCCAATGAATGGTTCCACTTGTGTGACCAACGGTCAGTATGCATCATCATTTGCCGTAAGCAGGATGACACGGCACTCACCAAATGACCATGTTGCTCACCAACTTCCCATATCAGCTGTGGGCGCAATTCATATTGCCCATGGCCCATTACTATCATCTTTCTGGCTTTGTCAATCTGTGAATCTTTAGTGTTCACTTGAATGTTGGTAAAGCTCCTGCATAAAGGATAAGTTGCGTGCATGCTCGCGTTTGCAAGCGATGCTCCAAGAAGGATGAGTAGACGTGCCAAAGGAGCGTCAATCTGCTGTGTCACCTGTAAGTTTGAGTGGCCCCAGGCAACCAAGCGTTTGAGTGGTACTGCTGCCTTGTTGCAATCATAGATGTCCTTCCTAGGTTAGTTTGGTAAGAAGCAGATGGCGCTTGTTTAGGTGAGTTTTATTTCATTTCCCGGGGCACACATTTTTTTCCAAAAGGACACCTGTGGTTGCAATGGTTTTTCGGGCTGTTTCGTGAATAGAAAGGCACTCTCCTTAGAGGAAGTTGCAAAGTTGAGACTAGTTTGTGCATCAAATGACCGCCAGCGCCCGGCATTTTGTTCACTTCCTGTAGCCACCACGTCTTTTGGCACTCATACCCTCTAGAGCGTTGCTGAATGCGCGTGGCGCATTCCAACGACAGGCAATGCCTACGCAGCAGCCACTGAGCTTGCATTTGTTTGCGCTGTGGATATAGGTATGTGTCAAATAGGGGTGCTCTTAAATCATAGTTTCGCTTTGTTCTTTCAACCCAACCTAAGAACAGGTACCCTTATGAAAGCACACACACACACCCATATACAGATGTGGGTGTCAACAGCTCGGAGTCGACCCCTCCGAATGGCAAGGGTCCCAAGACTTTGCGTATCGGAGGTTCCATATGAAAGCGGACCAGGCGGACCTTTTGGAGATATACCAATTCGAGTCCACACCCTGCCACATGCCAGCTGACGAGCAACAAGCAAATTCCAGGCGGCTTTCCTCAATGTCAGGAATCAGAACATAACAGTTTAACTAGCATGCAGTGCACAGGTGCAAATGCGAGAAAGGTTTGATTGTGTTGGTTTTGCTTAAGCAAACACATACGACTCTTGCAGGCAAGGTTGTTTGAGAATTTGCAGCACCACGGTGCCACTGCCCACGTGCCTCCTGACAAACAAACGTTCAAGCTAGAAGAATTGGACCGGGAGGCTGCTCGTTTGGACTGCCGAAGACGCCCGCGCCTGGGAGGTTGAGCAAGTGCGAAGTCTAGGTTTCCTTCGGGTCGCGAAACGGCACCATTTGGGGCCATCTTAGAAAGGTGGCTTGAAGGGAAACCCTTCATTTTTGGTTGGTGAATCATCACAGTCCATTCAGAAAACATGAATCCACGCACCAGGCGTTGATTCCTAGCTTGGGCACAGCAGGTCTGAGGCTTCATTGCAATCCCATTCTGTGAATCCACGCTTGTACTTTAGTCATCCATTCTGCGCGGGTGCTGGGTCCTTTTGCTGTCCATGTTGAGGAGCTTGTGTCAGTTAGAGCACCTCGAAGTCAGTTGAACAAATCTTCTACGAGGGGACTTGCCTTCTATTGCATAAAGCCACAAAGTAGGCGAAGACTACAACACAAGAATTAGACCAAAGCCCCGCCATGGCTGTGGGTCAAAACCAATGGTACCATTTTGGGGTAGGTGTACCACCCATGCTAGCCTGTATTTTAGTGGTTGGATTGAATCGGATGTTCACAGGGGGCTAACCGATTTGGATTTTGTCCCATGGCTATATTCCTGTCTGCTGACAGGCTTTTGCTGAGGTTTTCCGCTGAGAACAACTCAACCTCGGCTCCGTCGCCGAGTTGCCCCCTCGGCGATCGACAACTACCTAGATGCTGCCACCCGAAAGCAAGGTCCTGTGATCGTGGGAGCCACGTGCTCAAAACCCGGGTAGATGAAGGTTAGGGACAATCCCAGCCATAAATAGTTGCGGCCGGCTTCTTATTTCCGTACATGGTTCTGGGTCAACCATTTTATAACCGGGTTTTGCTTGTGACTCATGGGTGTCCTTGTTTCAGATGGCAGCAAGCATTATGGAGAGGAATGACCTTGCCTTGAAATGTCTGTTTGGTTTTTGCTTCTTTTTCCCTCATAAACCCGGATGGTTGGCTTTTGCAGACTTCTCACTGGAAGGCAATTTGTCCAACGTGACTGTTCATATACCACGCCTTCATAGGTCTTGATATACACTACACACGGTATGTGTACGTATATTATATCTGTAAAGTAATTCATGTTTAATCATAGAATGTACCCACTCCAAACACAGACATGGAACTTGAGCGGGATGCCATGTTCCCTTCGGCAACCAGGTTCCATGTTGGGAGGCGGCTATGGTGTGACCTGATGGGTTTCACCCTAGGGCCAAGTAGCTAAGGGCGTAAGGGGTCCAAGGGCTTAGCGGGGAATCATCACTTTTGACACGGTTCCATGAAAACCTTTCCCTGGCGCTTGCTCCACTGGGTGTTTTCCTACAGGCCCTTCCCCTTCACATGTTTCACAGGGCAAGCAAATTGGATGATCCGAAGCCCGTTTTGTTCGAACTCGTTTCGGGTCCCGGGCAAACCGCTGGTCTGAAGCGAAGAAACTCGTCCAGGTAAGGAACGGTTTCTTTCCCTCGCAGTGCAGGGGGGAAGCTCCCCCAGCTTTTCCATAGGCCAGTTCTTTAGGTCAGTTCGGAACCTGGATGGCACTGGTGTCGCTTTGGTTGCAACGATTTTACCAACTCCAGCTATTTGGACACAGATGTTGTTCGAGGCTTGGTATCCTTTTTTGGAGGTTAAAAGATTGACACCAAAAACGACTATCACTATCTATGGAGTCCCGCTATTTTTAGACATCCCCATCTTGGTGTTTCTTGTTTTGAGGGTGCCCATTTTGCTATCAAAAGGACCATCACGATTTATGGCGGTCCAAAACCCCCACCCTGACTGCGCGACTGAGGTTGGGGTTGACAGCTTTGGTTTGGGCATCCTGGTGGGTGTCTTTGGGACCTTGTCCACCATCGCTGCAGTTCTGCGCCTTGGATCAGATTTGCCCGTGGTCAAAACCGTTTTGGGATCCCATTTTGGGGGGGTTTTAGGTGAATTCACCACCCAAATTTTAGAAGCTATTTTAGTGGTTGGATTGAATCGGATGTTCACTGGGGGCTAACCGATTTGGCTTTTGACCCATGGCCATTTGGGCTTGTCATCTTGAGGATTCCGCCAAGAAACCTGGAGCTAAGACGGGTTCCACTAGCAAGCCACAACGGTGGTGTAGCCACTATAGCCACTACAAATTGTAGCCACTACAAGGGTGTATTCCCCGTTTTTTGGTGCTGGGGGAGTATGGGATATAACGGACGTTTGTTTCGTTGCTTCGGATAAGTCCGACGTCACAGTGGCTATATCTACGAGGGTGTTCAAAAGTGTCCAACCAGCTGAGTCTTGGGACAAGCCAAATGTGAGCCAAATGTGGCTGCTTGAGGTCAAAGGGAAAAACAATCGATGGAAGGTTCTTTATTTGTTGTGTGGGTGTGTTGTGTTGTGTTGCGACGCTGTTATGTTTGCATATGTGTTATGTTTGTATATGTGTCTGCTACTGCAGCAGCAGCAGCAGCAGCAGCAGCAGCAGCAGCAGCAGGCTGCTGTGAGCAATTTCTGCATAGAGGTGTAGCGCATGTTTGGTCCATTTGCAGCCACAACGCGAAGTCTTGGTTATCGTGGACATTCTGGCCTTCATGTCCTTTGCAGTTGCCTTGGCTGTGTAGTGGCCCTCATCATCATCGTGGCAGTCATTTTGCCAGTCTTGGCTTTTCTGGTTTTGTGGTCATTCTTGTTGTCCTTGCTGTTGTTGCCGTTGTTGTGGTGGTATCTTGTGGGTTGTTGGTTGTAGGAAGTAGGTTAGAGGAAGCTGGTTGGACGACATTGTTGTTTGCTGCTGTTATCGCTGCTGCTGTTGTTGTTTCTGCTGGTGTTACTTGTGCACAGTGTGTATGTGTGTGTGTGTATGTGCTGCTGCTGCTGCTGCTGCTGCTGCTGCTGCTGCTGCTGCTGCTGCTGCCGCCTCCTGCGGGTGCTGCGCTGATGCGACTGTGGCTGCTTCCGCTTCTGTTTCTCTTGCCGTTGTTGCCGCCTTTATGTTTTGCTTGGGAGCAGTGTGCAGCTCAGCCAAGGAGCATTTTTGTGAACAACTTGCGGGGGGTCGACTTCGAGGGCGGCAACGCACTGGCGTCTTCTGGCGGCTTCGTTATGCCCAACTTCTTCTTCCAGGCACCAGGAACAAAATTAGCCAGCGCCCGCCGGCGCCCGCTAATCTCGATGCCATTGCCCGCGCCCCCTGAAGTCAAGCCCAATGTTGTATCAGAATGTCAGCAGAGCAGAGCCCAATTGATGCTCGAAGTGATCAGCAGTTGATTTGCGTGCACCTTCAGTTGCCATCATGACATCACAGTGTGTCAAGATGATGAACTTCTCCAAAGACAGTATAAATGGGACTTCTTCAAGCTCTCGCGTTGATTCTTATTGATTGCCGTCCTTTCCAAAAGCGTCCAACTTGCTTTTGCATGAAGACCATTTGGCTCTTGCGCTGGTTGACGGGTAAGTTCTGCCAACCAGGGCGCGCGTGACATCTTCAGCAATGTCCGAAATGATGCCGTGCCTTGCATGCAAAGATGGGCCACACGAGGCTTAGGCGTCCAGCGCAGTTCATCCCCCAGCATAGTCTTGTTTTGGGGTTGGGGTTCCCTTAAATCAACCAGCAACAAAAGGCAGCCTGTCTTTTGGTTTTTGGCGGCCGCTGAGTTGAACCGCAGTGATCTTAAGCCGGAATAAAGGCAAACATTGAGAGCAGCCCCAAGCCGCTCGACACCTTGGTATGTGCACCCTTTCATGAGAAGCTATGTCAGTTTTGGACAGCCTTGAGCCTCAACCAAAGGATCGTTGGCATGTCTTGATCGGCCTGGACCTCTTTTTTTTTTTGGCGAAGACTGGGACAATCGTACTACTACTACTACTACTACTACTACTACTACTACTACTACAACTCGGGTGAAGGCCATGTTACACCATGACTGGTGGGGACTTGTAGCTGAAGACTACTACAATTAAAGAGGGATCCTTTCTTGCTGGACCAACCAGTCTGTAGGGAGTTGTTCAGGCTGTGTTCCCTCAATCCAAACTCACGGCTCTCGCCTTTGGCACCACTCAGGCGCAGTCCACGCAAAGATTCAAGGACTCATCGGGCGCGTGGATTTGCTTTACGGGGGTTTGTATCGTTGTTGGACCCTTTGACTCCCTAGTTTCATGGGAAGCAAATGGGAAAATCACACATGTGTTTTTGAATACATCGACATACTCACCTTGGTGTGTCCTGTTTTGAGGATACCCCTTTGTTTGTTCAAAGGAAGCAAACAAAACAACAAACCCATTTTGTGGGTCCCTCTGTGAGTTGCTTAGCGCCAGGGGAGAGAAAGCCAAAGCCAGTGTGTGACTACAAAGCTGAACGTCACCCGTTCGGGGCCCTGAAACCCTTGCTATCCCCTTGCCATCCTTTGTTTGCCGGGTTTCTGTACTGCGAGTACTAAGCGCTGATGCAGATGAATGGTCTTTGCGCTTCATGAATTCAAATTTGATCAGTGTGTGTTTCGGAGGGAGGGAGGGAGGGAGGGAGGGAGGGAGGGAGGGAGGGAGGGAGGGAGGGAGGGAGTTTTGCGCAGCTGTTGGCATCGCTTCGGTTCCCTTCTGGCTACAGTGGTTCCCCATCAAAATAACTAATGGCAAAAGAGTCCGCTGAAACAAGTGTGCCATCCCCGAAATGAATGATGTTCCCAAACGTGAAGGACAACCCCCATCAATCAAGGGGATACATCCCCCTGTCTGATCGTTTCTGTCTAGAGAACTCGTGGGGCAAACGAGCTCACCTGTGAAGAATGATTCCACGAGCTCTAAATTCAGGCATTGAAATTGCCTTATGCAGTTGACTTCCCTCACAGGTGCAGTCCGGGGATGCCCCTTCGTGAACGCCACTCTATCACAGGACGTGTCCCTATTGGCGTCGATCTAACCAAGCATGGTCCCAATTCAAGCCACAAGTACGAGACTTTCATGTCCTTGTATAGTGCTTGGGCTATTCTCCATGTTCGGTTGCTGTGGAGTTATGGTAGACCAGAAGTCAATGGGTGAGAACGGGTTCAACTGTTGCTTTGGTTAGCAAGCTACCTGGTTTAGTTGGACTTATATAGCCACTACCAAACGTTTCTGGGCGCTGACCCTTTTGAGGAGACCGGGCGCTTCGCCGAGATTTACGCAGGCGAGTGGCCGAAAAAGGTGACGGTTCCATGCCGAGTCCAAGCCTGTGGGTTCAGTGAACCCACTCCAAGGGCTCCTTCATTGGACACGTGACTTGAAAGTTCTCAGTTGCCCCAGCCACGACTTACTTTGCCATGTGTGTTGTGTGCTGAGAGACACGCGTACAGGCATCGAGCGCTCACAAGAGATGGCGATGCTGCGAAGCATCGATGCGCCTTGGTTTGTGACACTTGAGCCCTCGTTAGGCCCAAAGCTCCTCTGCTATCAAAGAGTCTATCCGAAGTTACTCTAGGTGGTCGCAAGGGCGGCAACACCAATTTTCGGCGAAGCATGCCCTCTAAGAGCGCAATCTGACCAGGTTGCGACAGGTTGGCTCGGTGTGGACCCCAGAAATGTTTCAGACTCGTCAACATGCAGCGCTAAGTCCGAGCCTCCCAGCGTCGATAAGACGCAAGCAAAATACAACGTAATAATCACGGGCACCGCTGCTGCAAGCAAATCCTTCTGTGTTAATGATGGTTTAAGAACCCCCTCAGATTTAATTCTGAGACCCTTCGACATAGCCCAAACATGCCCAGACCATATCAGGGGTGCGGCTGCACCTATTTGTGGCTGGGAGTCTCCGTTTCATCTACGCCTTGATTGCTCCGTCCACTTCCATGTTTCTGGGTCGGGCACTGCCCTTGAGTTTGAGTTGTGCTGTAGTTGGGGTGGCTTCTTTTGGCTTCCAACCCTAGTCAACGTGGATAGCGCAATTATCTTGCGAGTAAGAGGATGACAAAACCATGGGATAATTGTGCCATTTTGCACCCAATGTATGATTAAGGTACAAGTATCCGCTTGTCTCGAATGGGTCTGTCGAAAAGAGCCCCAGCCCAGCCACACCGAAGTGAGTCATTCCGAAGTGACGCATTGTGAATCCAACTTGCCAGGGCTTCCCTTGACGTTGCCACACCCCATTCTGATGTTTAAACAGTCTGCAACAAGTCCAATGCCGGTTCCCGTCTGGGCAAAGGGCAATTCTTAGCCACGATCCAGGTTTCACCCGGTGCCACGAAACGCCTTAAGAGACCTATTGGGCCAAAGTACTCCCAGGACTCCCCTGCTGTCCCCCCGACCCTTTGGAATTTCTGGTGGTATGGTGGAAATGGTCATGGGGGTGAGGAGCTTCTTGGCTTTGACCTTGAGTAGATAGGGCAGTTGGGAGTCCAGATGTGGAGACCTGGTGTCAAGAACCCAATGGGATATGGGATGATTGAACTATGGATAAGCTGAATATTCCAGGAAGCTCGGTGTTAGGCTGACCTCCCCTCCCCCTCCCCTGCCGGCTTGACGTGCCTGCACACCCGGGCTAAGTACTGGTCAATGCCAATATGTGCGGCCGGCTCCGGCCACTGGAGCAAAAGTGTGGTAGGTAAATCAGACCGCGGGGAATTGGTTCGCGGCCTTATGTGGGGATGCCGTGTTTCAGGTATGCGACTGAAAGAAATGTGTGGCCAGAACTGTTGGTTTTTGGCCGACACCGATCAAAGAGTTGGGTGTCCAAGGGTCCTTACTCCACCGACACTTGCAGCGGCCGGGTTGGCCAAACCAGGCGTTGCGAGAGCAAGTGCCGCCGGGTGCAACGAGGGAGATCCTTTTTGGTCGCCTGGATGCAATGAACACACCGCAGATTCGCTCGCCGCTCGCCCGTATTCAACCAGTGCATGCTGTTTACTAGGTTGCCTCATTTCGCTGCGGACCACAGCAGGCCATCGTCTTGCTTTTGTTGGGCACCATGCTGAACGTGTGCCTGAAGCACGCTTGCCCTACATGTGCAACCAGTTCCAACAGGATTAGACCCAGAGCTGGGGTGATCGCATGAGAGGTTTTGTGGGCTTTGGGGTTTCCAGAGACATACCAGGCCCAACCACTTGGTCTAAACATGTTTGAACCACCATTGCTTGAGCAGACTCCTTCTGACTTCAGTTCAAAGGAAGGTGTTGGTTGTGAGATCTTCTGCGCAGCCCATGACATCGACTTGAGAGGCATCTTGCGGCGAGCAGCTTTGTCCAGCTCTCAGCTGGCCAGCTCGCTCTACGACTTCGCCCTCAGGCTGCAGGCGGGACAGAGCTGCAAGCTCCGCGTGCAAGGGACTCTTCCAGAGACCTGCCTAGGGTTCTGTTCTTCGGATGAAGTCACCAAAGCCCGGAAAGCATTCGGTAGCGTACCCACAATGCAAGTGTCAACCCACTGTCAACTCACGTCGTGCTTTGTTCTTTGTTGGTTTCACAGTGTGTGCACTTCTATGTGGCCGTGCCCACAACACCAATGGTACCATTTTGGGGGTTTTCGGTGCACCACCCATTTTGGAACCTATTTCAGTGGGGATTGAATCGGATGTCCACCGAGAAAAAATAATAAAAAAAGCAAAAGAATAACAGAAAAAGAAGCCGGGTTTTGATCCAGAGCCATGTGACTTCGAGCTCCAGACAATTTTTTTCGGACGGTTTGAGCCTCAGGACTCCCTCCATCGCTGGGGTCTCAAAAGGAGACCCAGGTTGGCTGCCTTCTTGGCCTTGGCAGACCCCTAAAACCCGTGTCCTCCGTAGGGGGTTCTTGCGGTGTGGTTGCTTTAAATGGGGGCAGCAATGGAAACCAGCAGGCTTCCCACTCTTTTTGAAGCAAACCGGATGGAAATGGTTCTTAGCCCCTGAGCTTATCATGATGTTTTAGAACGGCATGCCCCTCTCCCTGTCAGTTTCACAGTGGAACTGAAGACCGTGTTTGCTTGTCTGGAGGTTTGCCAAAGCTGGGGGCCCTTTGACGAGTGCGATTTGAGCATAGCCAGGCCAAAAAGCCTGCCAGAGACAAGGCGCGGCAGTCGCTCGAGTGGCTGACCGGTGCGAGACCAGTTTAGTGGCAATCAGATATATTTTGATCTGGCCAATCTCAGGAAGTGAGGTAGAGGGTGTGGGAATGACCGCTGTCCATCAAATGTGAATAGATCCGTGCATCGAATGTTGGCACATGGATAAACCTGAACTTGATTGATCAACGGGTGGTAATCGTCGAGAAGGGTCGATCGAATATTCCTAAGAACAAGCAACCACGGATGACAGTTGGAAGCCCTTGTCTGCGCTGGACAATTGCCAGACATCTGAAGCACGCCTTCGCAGGCGGGCACATCAGGAGCCCCACCTGAGGTTAGAATGACTTCGCTGCAGAATGTGATGCAGGGACCTGGATGAGCGGTATTTGATGATGCGAGACCCCCGATCAATCCCTTTCGTGGTGGATCAGCACGAGCTGAAACACATGTATCAAAACGCCGTTGGCATCAACATACAGTTGCTGCAGCTGCAGTAACTGCTCCAAGCGGGGGAGGGTTGGATTACCTGTGCACAACACGCACATAGAAAGTGCCAACCCGATTGCCCACCAGTAGTCAGTGGTCAGTGGACAGAGGGCCAACTGTGAACAAGCCAGAAGCCACCTTTGAACCAGTCGGTGATTCCAAAACGTGTCACCCAAAACGTGATCACTCCATGGCAATGAGGGTATTTGACTTGTGCAGACCCATTGAACCCACAACCAAGTGTGCCTTGGACCTTGAAGTGGAGGGTCCAATACATAAGATCAGGGAACCAACAGTTGGCTTGGCAAAACAGAAGCCCGTTTTCCCGGCGTCCTGATGCTTCCTTTGTTCATTGTAACATCACCTGTCGCATTTTTAGATCAGCGTCCTCTTGCGATCTTTTCACAAACTCCTTGGTAAACCAGTTTAGTTTCCTTCAGTGTGATGTTTGTCGGTGCCCGGTGGTGGTTTTTGAGCTTGGCTTTTTTCTGGAGGCTTTGGTATGAGTTGTAGATTTTGTTGTCAGGACAGCGTGGTGGATATCCTCTCGGAGCTGTGGGGTCTGGATGAGGGCCGGTGCGTGGTGAGCGCAAGGCACATACGTGAGAGTCTCTCGCGAGAATTTGCCTCCGAGTCTTCCACTTAACACTCAAATGGCTGAAGGTAGCATAGGCCGTGTCTCAAACTCTTGGCATTGAACGTTCCCTTTTCCCCGCTGGTCCAGGTGGTGGGACAGGGTTTCCTCGTTTTCTTCTTTTGGCTGCAGTGATACGTGTTGGCCAACTTGAAGTGACTTTGCTCAGGTGGAGTGATGTTTAAAGCGAACTTTAGGCAACTCTGTGAAAGACGACGAAAACCACAAGGGTGGCTCTCAACATCCCAGTACCCTAAATTGGTTGGTTTGCTTTTGACTCCCTTCGGATACGACGCACAGCATGTATGGGGGGAGCCTTCAAATCTTTGTTTGGGGCTCATGCGGGCCTGGCAAGAGGGGAATCCGCTTTCAAAACCACCAAGGGGATTAATTCATGGATCTACTTGGGTTAAGGCCTTTATGCGCTTTGCCATGGGTGAAACAGTCACTGGCGCTCCATTCTTGTGGATTGGGATGTTAGAACCGCGTGTCCTTGTTATTCGCACATCTTGGAGAGGAGTTTTCGTTCTGATGGGGTGATGTTTGAGAGAAGAAGCATCAGGAGCCATGCAGGCTGCAAATTGATACATGTGTATATGGGACTAGGTGCCCCAGCACCCTTTTACCAACTCTTTTGGGGGGAGGTTATCCTACTAAAATAGACTGCAGAAAAAAAATATGGTACCCTTCTTTCTCTACTGGAGCACCTAGTATGTGATTCTTTGTTTGGCACCCCTCCCCTACTAAAATACACTGCAGAAAAAAACATATGGTACCCTTCTTCTCCTCCTCTCTACTGGAGCACCTAGTATGTGATTCTTTGTTTGGCACCCCTCCCCTACTAAAATAGACTGCAGAAAAAAAGGGTACCCTTATTCTCCTCCTCTCTACTGGAGCTAGACAACATGTTTCCTCTGAAGCTTCCAGGAGCCTGGCTTTGATGGCTTTCGTGATGTATGGTTTGGTCCCAAGTTCCACGGAATGCTCTCGGGTGGTTGAAAGAGATCGCTGACGTTTTCTGAAAGTATGCAGGGCTGGTGACTCTTTAACCTAGGCTTCAACCCCCAAAAACAATTGTTATTTTACCCAATTTTAAGTGTAGATGGCGGTTATATGAACTTCAACCCAACCATTGTTTCCATGGTGATCAGGGACACCCAGGGTTTTATGGAACCACTGAAGGACCCAACCGCTTCCGTCGCAAGGCGAGCTGGAGAAGGTGGTCGCAGGCCTTGGATCAATGCAGATGCGGCCACTCGGCGGCTTCGAGTCGGCTTGGAAGGCCACGGGATGGGCAGGTCTTGAGGGTGGTTTCACAGAAAACCAGCAAGATAACTGCCTGTGTTGGGTGGGGGTTCCCCTTATGTTGACACATACCCCAATATATATATATATACATATACATGTATATATATATATATCCATATATATATAGAGACATATATATATATACATATATTTTTGTGCGCGTGTGTGTTTTTTGCTTTTGTTGCACGCTGAACAAGCTCAGCGGTGGAACGGATGGAAAGGACAGACTGATGAAATACGACTCTGCGGTATCCATTTGCAGTCCCTGTCAAAGTAATTAGCCAAAGATGACAATTATGGGTCTCGATTGGCCGTGTATCGAAGCCAGTCATTCTGAGGGCTCGTGATCCGCTTTTAGCTACGTCCACGTCGCAAGGTTAGCGACGGGTGTTGCAAAAGTTGACGCTGCTTCCTCTTACGGAAGGATACAGGACACAGTTTTAGTAGAGGGTGCATCTCTTGATACATTGTGGACATGTGCACCATGAACGCATACACAAGTCTCAACATGGTACGAACCAATCTAAGGACATCCTCTTGGATGAGCAGGTCCCAGCCTTGCGGACGATTCTGGCCGAGCTCCTTGGCAGACGGATCGGCCTTGCTTTTTTGGTTGGCGAGGAGGTGTTTTGGGGGATACCTAGCCAACCCAAACCAAGCAATCAAGCAACCAAACAAGCAAGCAACCAAAGAACCAATCACCCAACCAACCAAATAAGCAATCAAACAACCAACCACCCAACCCACCCAACCCGCCCAACCAACCGATGAACCAACCAACCAACCGAGCAACCAAGCAACCACCCACCCAACCAACCAAAGGAGCAACCAAACAACCAACCACCGAACCCACCCAACCAACTGATGAATCAAGCAACCAAAGAACCAAAGAACCAAAGGACCAACCACCCAACCGACCAAACAAGCCACCAAACAAGCAAGCAACCCGCCAACCAACCAACCGACCAAACAAACCACCAAACAAGCAAGCAACCCGCCACCCACCCAACCGACCAACCAATCGACCAGTGGTTGGTTCAACCAAACAAGCAACCAAGCAACCGACCAACCAACTAACCAAGAAACCAACCAAGCAACCAAAGAACCAACCAACCAACCATCCAACCGTCCAAACAAGTAACCAAACAAGCAACCAAACAAGCAAGCAACCAGCCACCCACCCAACCAACCGACCAACTAACCAAACAACCAACCAAGCAACCAAACAAGCAACCAAGCAACCGACCAACCAACTAACCAAGAAACCAACCAAGCAACCAAAGAACCAACCAACCAACCATCCAACCGTCCAAACAAGTAACCAAACAAGCAACCAAACAAGCAAGCAACCAGCCACCCAACCAACCGACCAACTAACCAAACAACCAACCAAGCAACCAAACAAGCAACCAAGGAACCAACCACCCAACCACCCAACCACCCAGGTGCGCCAAGCGCCCACTCTTTGCCTGGGTAGCGCCAGAGATCTTGGCGCGCCCCACCTTCCTGACCTTGGTGCGGATTTTCGACGCATCCCGGCCGCAGCTTTATTCAATCCCCACCTCATGACGCGGACACCTGAGAGCCCCAAAAGAAGGGGGCAGCCCTTTTCCATATGCGGTGTAAGTTTTGGAGGGGTGGAAGTTTTACAGGGAAGCCACAAAAGGAAAGCCGGTCCACACAGTCTGACACATACACCGACGTTTCTCCCTTGTGAGTATGAAGGATGCTGGGCAATGCCTGAGCCCCCTTACAGCCATGAAGGCGGTGAAGCAAGTGATGGCCGCGTCATCATTTGTGTTGCAAGCTGCGGAGGCACTGCTCATTCATGGACTGAACGGCACCCCCATATATTGAACGACACGTTGGGGTACCTTGTTGTCGTGTAGTTTTTGTTTTCGTCCATTTACAGTCGCTTGGATACATGTGGATACTATATATATATATATATATATACGCACATGTGTGTGACAGGTTGGTATTGGGATGGGGTATCATGTGTATATACATATATATATATATATGGTAGGACCCCCCTCCAACACATAAATATATATATATATATATACATATATGGACATACATTTCAAACATATATATATATACATATATATACCCTCAAATTCCCACTTTGATGTTTACTATAGTACTTCATCCAAATACGTATGTAAACATGCAATTTGTCTTAACTCGATTATTTTTGCAATGGGATCCGCACATGTCGCCCTCAAACACATCAGATCTAGGTGAATTGAGTCTTCCAGAGGCCAAGTTTGATCTTGCCTTTAAAAAACATATATACCGCTGGGATGGCAAGATCCAAAGTAGGCCCTTGAGAAGTCAAGCATCTATGAACTATACTCCAACCCAAGCTTCAATTCAAGAAGTAGCCATGCCTCAAGAGGCAAACCCGCATTGCCAGTTATCAGGCAGCTGCATTCCGTGCTTGGGTCTTGAAATTGAACATGTACAATGCGATCGCTGCCTTCGGAAATCGCAAAATTGGCGCCTAAGTGTTGGTGAGGAAAACTTAACGGGTAAACATGGTATCTAACGGGTAAATAACGCATTTCACGCAAATTTCACGGGTATTTCACGAAAATTTCACGCCTGCTGTTCTTGGGGCTTCAGATTGGACTCCACCAAAAAGTACATTGGCCCTAGCACACATGATAACGGCGCTGCTAGGTCAGCAACAAAGTCTTCAGGTCTGCGACTAAATTTTGAAAGACCCTGAGTGGGGATGGCCTACAATGATGAATGGAGGAACCATCCTCAGACCAAAAAACGCGTGAGGAGTGTCCTTCAAATCATGGAGCCTTGCTGGAAAACCTGCTGCAGATACAAATGACGGCTGCAAAGCCATGAAAAAAGCTGACAATTCAGGAAATAAAGTCAATGAGACCATGCCATTTGGGGGGGGGGGGGGTGCAACACGGATCACGGGACCACATATATGTGTCTACACATTGACACGAACGCGGTCACCCCTTCCCAAGCTGCGGACATGCGGCAATAGGTCTTCCAGCCCATCGAGGCCAGCGAGTCCTCGGGCGGCCACTCCGCAGCAAACTTTTCCCCCGAGGATTCCAACGCTGCGATCGGTAAGGGAAGAAAGCGAGAACGGGAATTGAACCTCGGAGCCCTGGCATATTCAGAACACGCGTTCTTTGGAACAACAGCTTATCTTTTCGGCGTTCCTGCTCTTGTTTTCGCGGTAACCAGTGACGCGTTTTCGCTTTTTCCAGGTGCACTTGTTTGTGTAGTTACCCGCGGGCCTCGGAAGACTTGGGTTCATTTACAGAGGCCAAATGGGAGCTCCCGGCTGCTAGTTTGAGGGAGTGTAGATGTTTCCTTTTGTTCAGTTGCTTTTTACGTCTTTTTTGTTGTCTAAGGGGGGAAGTCCATAGATGTGTTGATGTTAGATATCCTTGTGTTGTTGGGGGTAAATCCTTGGATTTGCCGTTGTTTCAGGGGAGGGTGTGTTTGATTTCTGTTGGATTTTGGATGGGGGGTACACCTTAAATGCCCTTGTGGGAGGGTTTGACTCTTGGATGGTCCATGGTGGGATGATGATGTAATGGAGCTGTGGTTGGCGCTATAGGCAAATCTGCCCTTCCTTCGAGTAAGCCTGACACACCGTCGGCCTGAAATGAAGCTTCCCCGGCCCTTGTCATGGTTCACGACGCCGTGTTCTTTTGCAGTTCGTAGAACCTGTTGGATAATGCAATTCCCGGGTGAACCTGCTTTGTCGAGCCTTGCTGCCCTGCGAACGCACAGCTTGGTCACAGCTGTGCTGCTCTACGCACGCGCTTGGTCACGGCTTCTGTTCATGTACTTAAACATACTTAAACCTTTTGGGGCTGGAAAAGCCCTTCAAATTCCAGTTGAAGGTTTTCAACACGTGGTGTTTAGTGCTGTGTTTGCTTGATGTGGTTGGCTTTGCAGCGTTGCGCTTCATGCGCTGTCGCCACGGCGTGACGGCCCTTTTCCCCGCGCCCTTTGGGGGGTTGGTACTCGGGTCCAGTTGGATGCCATCAGAGCCAACGCATGCTATTCGGGGCATGGAAGGGAATCCCGTACTCCAGATGGAAGAACTCCGCTGTGTAAGAGCCCGTTCAAGGTTTGTCTTAGATCAAGCACGAAAAAGACACCTGCCAGGCATCCCAGATGTGGATGCATGCCTACTTCAGTGTTGTAGGTTGGGAGATGACTTGTTGACCAGAAACGCATTACGGCATGCATAACTGCCAACATGCTGCTTTTGCGTGTCGAACTCGTTGCAGTTGTTTTTTGAGTTAGTTGTGCCCTAGATGAAAAGGGCACGCTATTGGGGTTGCACAGTGCGGTGACGCGAGCTTGTTTACTGCTATTGCTCTACTGACTGTATGAGTGTAAGCTTGCTAAATGAGTACTTGTTTGCCCATTACTCTTCTTTATTTTTCGTGAAACCTTGACCAGCAAACATCCAACAGCAGCGAGCATTTCTTCAAGCACCACCCTTTCAACTTCCTTGTGGCGAAAGGGGGCAAACGCAGGAATCCTACTTTGCTTGCGGGAATTAGACTCACCTTCTGGTCTTCGATTTGAAAAGGTTGTCTTTGGGGTGATATCCAAGGTCAAAGATATGCCAGTGCAACACCTATGGCCAGTACTTCATGCATTAGATATAGAGTTGGGTGAAAGACGGCGCAATCGGTTTTATCATACGTCTTTACTTAGCTCACAAGAATCTATTCCCATCTCTTACCCTCGCAAAACCCACCGAGCGTCGAGTCTCGCGGAGTGAGGTCCTTACAGCCCGGAGGAGTTCCAAGCCATCGACGACTTCTTGGAGCAAGTGACCCGCACCGCTGTGATGCGCCCGGCCCTCGGGTGTTGTGGGGCGAGCGGGTCTTTGTCCGAGGGAAGCTGCCCGAAGTCCGAGGGCAATCTTTTTTTCTTCGGAACCGGGGGGGGGAGGGGTTGGGTGGAAATACGAAATTGGTTAATTCCAAATCTGTACGATTCCTGTTTGGAGGTATGCCAATCTTTCAAAAGAGGTTGGCAAATGGACAGCCCAGGCTTCAGTGCTTCTTTCTCGGGACCACAGCTTACTGGGTTTCGGGTGCTAAAGAACGCGTTCCGATCGCTTACACCAAAGGACAGAGTGGAATTGGCATCCTAGAACACACTAGAACCCGTTTAGGGTTACCAAACCTTCTAGCAAAGCCCATGTTGCATTTTTGCCTTGGCAGGACCACTAACGTCACCAGCAGAGCTGGTTGCTGGCTTGGTTGGATCCACTTTTGGATGGTTGAGGGGAAAGAGAAACCGTCAAGTCGTGCTTTCCCCAAATCAAATGGCGGGATTCATGTCGTGGTTCAGACCTACCTGGACTCTCAATCACCCTTCGTTTTTGGGGTGGTGCTGTGTTGCATTCAGTTTTGGGGTGTTTTGTTTTTGTTTTGGTGTTAGTTCTATGTTTGGGTGTTTGCGTTTTTCCATGCGCTGCTTTGTCAACCCTGGAATTCCGCTAGCGGTGTGTTTAACTTGTTTGAATTAACAACGTTGTTGTTCACTGCGCAGGGCTTGCTTGAAAGATACAAGTGCCAAGTCAAGCAGCTGCGCGGACCTTGCTGTCACCCCATGTCAAACCTCCAGGTTCAGCTCAGCGGCATGGAAGAAATCATCAAACATAATTTGACCTTGGCCCAAACGGCTTGAATGCCAACACAACACAAGGGAAAACTAAAGCCGCGTTATTAGCCTTTCATTTTTGTGTGAGAAAAACATTTGTGAGTTGCACAAGTTAAGAAGGCTGCCCCGTTGCGTGCTGCCTAGTGTTGGAGCCGATCACTGAGCCGCAAGGCATCCAAATCAGGTTTCCTTTGGAAGCGAGCAGGTGGCTTGGTGCACCACAACTCAAACTGATGTTTAGGAGGGCGCTGCGACAATGCAAAGAGCCAACATCCTTTAAAACAGGAGTTAGACAGTTCGAGTTGTTTCTTCTAGTTTGTGCGGTGTGCTTTGCGCGGCACACATCACAAACGGTCTTTCATGGCAAAACCCGGTCTTCTAATGGCTTGAAACAGTGTGCCATGCGCAGTTCACCGCATGTTCATGTAATGTCACTCTACTTTCACAACAGTAGAGTCCAAGAAGGTATAAGTTCAATGACCAAATATTGTCGCAACAAATTCAGAAGGATAGCTTTCGCAGATGTTGTAGCAGCGCGATGGGAGTGATTCCGCATTTGTCCACAGCTCTGTGCCTTTGGGCCATGTGCCCAATATTGCTTCAATCTACAAACGACACAAGAAACATCTTAATTAAGCATGATATACAATACTTTGCAAATTCGGGTATGCTCAGTTTCAACATGCCTCCTAGACGATCAAGTTCACATTCTTCAACTGTGGTTCTCTGGCTCATGCGACTCAGCGCAACATGTACCAGTTGCCCTTAAAGTTGATGTCCTGAAGCAAGCATACAGCCAAAGGGTCCAGTCTTTATATGATAGCAGGCAAGCTTGCAACACCTGCTATTCTGCGAACAGTAGCTGTCACTAGCAATTAAATGGTCGTTCCGTAAGGTCAGTATTCTGCGAACAATAGCTGCCACTAGCAATTGAATGGTCGTTCCGTAACGTCCACCTAGGATTAAACATTGCACCTGGAATAAAGACAAACGGGTGGCCCCCCAAAAAATGCACCTGGAATAAAGACAAGCACCCGCCACCCCCGCCCAAATGTTCTGAACGAAAATTATAAGGAACATGAGAAAATGGAACAAACAGAGAAAGAAAGGAGATGTAACCAAGCCAACACCTGGTCCTTAGATCTTTGGTACCTTGTTCTTCAGCTCCCCAAAAGTCAAGCTGTCCAGCTGCCCAAGAAGTCATGGTTTCTCACATGTCTCTTGTTTGAAAGCTGCCCGCAATCAAACCTGCAAAGGGGGTGGGTAGTACTTCAGGCCCCCAAACTTGAGCCCAAGACTTTATTTCAGGGGCCCCTACAATAAAGTCTTGTTGTCTGGCCCCCTGCAAATATACAACTAGCCCAGCGTAACTACCTATAAAGCTTCGGGCTTTGTTGTTAGATTTGGGCCTGCTTCCCAATTCAAAAATGTCCAGCTTCCCCAAGCTATTGTTTTCTTGCATGTCTCTTGTTTAAAAACTGCCTACAACCAAACTCACAAACAACCTAGTACTTCACCCCCAATTTGACATTATTTCAGCGGCTTCTGAAATACAGTCTTGTTGCCTGCCCGCGGCTGCCCGAGTGCAAAAAAGTATCAAAAGGAAGCTCCAGCAATACAAAATCAAATGGAAACTAAGTTTCAGATCTCAAAAGGAAGCTCCAGCAGTGCAAAATCATATAGCAACTCCATTCCAAATCTCAAAAGGAAGCTCCAGCAATACTAAATCACATTGAAACTCAGTTCCAGATCTCAAAACGAAGCTCCAATGCTAAATCAAATGGAAACTCCTCCAGCAATACTAAATCTGATGGAAACTCAGTTCCAGATCTCAAAAGGAAGCTCCAGCAATGCTAAGTCGAATGGCACCAATTGCCAAATCTCAAAGGAAGCTCCAGCAATACTAGTTCAAATGGAACCCGAATACACATCTCAAAAGGAAGCTCAAGCAATGCTAAATCAAATGGAAACTCAATTCCAAATCGCAAAAGGAAGCTCCGGCAATGCTAAATCAAATGGAAACTCAATTCCAAATCTCAAAAGGAAGCTCCAGCAATACTAAGTCAAATGGAAACTCAATTCCAAATCTTTTAATCTAATGGAAACTCCATTCCAAATCTCAAAAGGAAGCTCCAGCAATACTAGTTCAAATTGAACCCGAATACACATCTCAAAAGGAAGCTCCAGCAATACTAAGTCAAATGGAAACTTAAGCCTACCAATACTAAATCAAATGGAACCTCAAATGCAAATCTCAAAAGGAAGCTCCAGCAATACTAAATCAAATGGAAATTCAAGTCTAGCAATACTAAGGCAAATGGAAGCAAAATTGAACTGGATCTCAAGATATTATTCTAGGCACCCCCTTTGTTGGGCGGGTGGAGGGCCCCCCCTTTCTAATCCCAGGTGGACATTACTCCGAACAAAGACCATTTCAAGGACATTACTCCGAACATAGTCCGGATAGGTGGACAGGGTCCGCATGACCGGTTGGACGGCCCGGACGGGTCCGGACGGGTCTGGATAGGTCCGGACGGGCCCGGACAATAAACAAAAATGTGTTTTTTTCAAAAAAATGTGTTTTGGTTCGGACTAGTCCGGGACGGACGCTTAAATACGCCTTTTGGACGCCTAAATACGCCTGTTCGGACGCCCCGCTGGACGCCCAAAACATTTTGGATAGAAAACGGTTTTTTGTATGTTTTTCTCGTCCGGACGCGTCCGGACGCGTCCGCCCGCCCGGACCCTGTCCACCTATCCGAACTATGTTCGGAGCAATGTCCTGTAAATTGTTTTTGTTCGGAGTAATGTCCACCTGGGATTAGTAAAGGGGGGGCCCTCCCCCACCCCAACAAAGGGGGTGCCTAGAATAATATCTTGAGATCCCATTCAATGTTGCTTCCAGTTGCTTTAGCATTGGTAGACTTGAATTTCCTTTTGATCTAGTGTTGCTGGAGCTTCCTTTTGAGATTTGTATATGAGTTTCTGATTGATTTAGAGATTTGGAATTGAGTTTCCATTTGACTTAGTATTGCTGGAGCTTCCTTTTGAGATGTGTATTCGGGTTCCATTTGAATTAGTATTGCTGGAGCTTCCATTTGAGATTTGGAATGGAGTTTCCATATGATTTAGAGATTTGGAATTGAGTTTCCATTTGACTTAGTATTGCTGGAGCTTCCTTTTGAGATTTGGAATTGAGTTTCCATTTGATTTAGCATTCCTGGAGCTTCCTTTTGAGATTTGGAATTGAGTTTCCATTTGATTTAGCCTTGCTGGAGCTTCCTTTTGAGATTTGGAATTGAGTTTCCATTTGAATTGATATTGCTGGAGCTTCCTTTGAGATTTGGACATTGGTTCCATTCGACTTAGCATTGCTGGAGCTTCCTTTTGAGATCTGGTAACTGAGTTTCCATAAGATTTAGTATTGCTGGAGCTTCCTGTTGAAATTTGGAATTGAGTTTCCATTTGATTTAGCATTGCTGGAGCTTCCTCTTGAGATCTGGAACTGAGTTTCAATGTGATTTAGTATTGCTGGAGCTTCCTTTTGAGATTTGGAATGGAGTTGCTATATGATTTTGCATTGCTGGAGCTTCCTTTTGAGATCTGGAACTTAGTTTCCATTTGATTTTGTATTGCTGGAGCTTCCTTTTGATACTTTTTTGGACGCGGGCAGCCGCTGGCAGGCAACAAGACTGTATTTCAGAGGCCGTTGAAATAATGTCAAATTGGGGGTGAAGTTTCTGAAGTACTAGGTTGTTTGTGGGTTTGGTTGTAGGCAGTTTTAAACAAGAGACATGCAAGAAAACAAGAGCTTGGGGAAGCTGGACATTCTGGATTTTGGGAAGCAGGCCCAAATCTAAGAACAAAGCCCGAAGCTTCATAGGTAGTTACACTGGGCTAGTTGTATATTTGCAGGGGGCCAGACAACAAGACTTTATTGTAGGGGCCCCTGAAATAAAGTCTTGGGGTTCCTGAAGTACTACCCACCCCCTTTGCAGGTTTGATTGCGGGCAGCTTTCAAACAAGAGACATGTGAGAAACCATGACTTCTTGGGCAGCTGGACAGCTTGACTTTTGGGGAGCTGAAGAACAAGGTACCAAAGATCTAAGGACCAGGTGTTGGCTTGGTTACATCTCCTTTTCTTTCTCTGTTTGTTCCATTTTCTCATGTTCCTTATACTTTTCGTGCAGAAAATTTGGGCGGGGGTGGCGGGTGCTTGTCTTTATTCCAGGTGCATTTTTTTGGGGAGCCACCCATTTGTCTTTATTCCAGGTGCAATGTTTAATCCTAGGTGGACGTTACGGAACGACCATTCAATTGCTAGTGACAGCTATTGTTCGCAGTATACTGTAGCATGCCTTGCAAGCTTGCCTGTTATCATATAGATACTGGACCCTTTGGCTGTAACAGTGAGGGTCTTGGGGCAGTTCAGCGCTGCGAGCAAAGCTTAAAAGCAATATGCTTGCTTCACTGCATCAACTTTAAGGGCAACTGGTACATGTTGCGCTGAGTCGCATGAGCCAGAGAACCACAGTTGAAGAATGTGAACTTGATCGTCTAGGAGGCATGTTGAAACTGAGCATACCCGAATTTGCAAAGTATTGTATATCATGCTTAATTAAGATGTTTCTTGTGTCGTTTGTAGATTGAAGCAATATTGGGCACATGGCCCAAAGGCACAGAGCTGTGGACAAATGCGGAATCACTCCCATCGCGCTGCTACAACATCTGCGAAAGCTATCCTTCTGAATTTGTTGCGACAATATTTGTTCATTGAACTTATACCTTCTTGGACTCTACTGTCGTGAAAGTAGAGTGACATTACATGAACATGCGGTGAACTGCGCATGGCACACTGTTTCAAGCCATTAGAAGACCGGGTTTTGCCATGAAAGACCGTTTGTGATGTGTGCCGCGCAAAGCACACCGCACACACTAGAAGAAACAACTCGAAATGTCTAACTCCTGTTTAAGTGATGTTGATTCTTTGCATTGTCGCAGCGCCCTCCTAAACATCAGTTTGAGTTGTGGTGCACCAAGCCACCTGCTCGCTTCCAAAGGAAACACCTGACTTGGATGCTTTGCGACTCAGTGATCGGCTCCAATGCTAAGCAACACGCAACGGGGCCGCCTTCTCAACTTGTGCAACTCACAAATGTTTGTCTCACACATAAATGCAATTCTAATAACGCAGCTTGTGTTTTCCCTTGTGTTGCGTTGGCATTCAAGCCGTTTGGGCCAAGGTCAAATTATGTTTGATGATTTATTTCATGCCAACATCAAAGGCATTGAGCAGCTGAGCTGAACCTGGAGGTTTGACATGGGGTGATAGCAAGGTCCGCGCCGCTGCTTGAAAATGCATCTTTCAAGCAAGCCCTGCACAGTGAACAGCAACGCCCCAAAGAACACAGCTTATCGTGACAACACCGTTAAACAAATCCGCTGATGGACTTTCAGGGCTTTACTTGGCACAGAACCAAAAAAAGGTGTTTTGTTCAATAAAAGGTGTTTCGACAAAGAATGCCATTCTTTACATTTTGCCCCAAGAATTTGGGGTGGTTTGAGACTCCAGGTAGACAGATTGGTGCAGGGCCAGGTGGAATTGCTGAAAGGCAAAGGTCATTTGTCCAGAGCCACACCGCAGTCTTTGCGCACGCTTAGTTAATTAGAGGGGGGGCAAATTTGACTCTATTGTCTTCTGCTCGCTTCTCGAAAGAAAAGTAGTCTTTCACACGAAGTGTATTTGTATTCTCATGTTTGTTGGTGGGAGGGTAGAAGATAGAATCCTACTGCACAGCAAAACTCAAAAACAGCCTGTTTTCCTGGCATTTGCCGAATCCTTGGTGATGTGTTGCATGCAATAGTGCAAGTTTCTAGGCAGCAGCTATAGTGGTTGCTTGGCCCGCTAATTTGAACTCACGTTTGCCCCCTCGCCAACACCCTCTAACCTCCATCACTCACTGTGACTTGGGGACAAGGAACAGGGCTTTCAAGCCCAACGTGTCAATCCCATCGTGACCCCTGAGAGTTTGTTTTGTTCAAGCGCATCCTGAAATGGGTCCTCACTCGTCAATCCGATCCAGTGAAAAACGTTACCCTGAACCAAACCCCAGCTTTTGTTTGGGGGTGTCAACATTATCATACCTGGGTGTGTCTTTTTTGGGGGGACCCCCAAAATGCTGGTTCAACCAGAACAAACCAAAACAGAATTTAAGGGGCAAAAGCCCAGAATAGCAAACCACCAATCCAAATCGCCAATTAGACCCAAGTTGAGGTTGTCCTTTCGGTTTCCCTTTAAATCCACCAAACAAATCTGGGTGAATTAAAACGACTCACGCGACCTCACCCCAAATGGTGGTTTATATGGGGAAGAGGTCCCCCAACCACTTGATTTCAGGTGGGTGCAATAAAAAACGAAAAAAACGACGACAATAGGGCTGCCCTTGACTCAGATTGAACGGGGAACAATTCTCCAGGTTCCGGGTTTCCTTTCGGTTTCCCTTTGAATCCACCAAACAAGGCCTGCCCTTGACTCAGATCCAAAGGAATCCCAGGGTTTCGGGTTGCCAAGGCCGGGCCTTCAAGCACATCACCAAGAGTCTGCCCATCCTGCTGACCCGTCCCTGGAAGGCGACCGGCGACCCGTTTCGGGGAAAGGACGACGTTCCCACGTCGACTCACCTAGCGGGAAAACCCTGGATTCAAGCTTATACCCGGCCGAAGCCTCTGCGCGCCTAATTCAGAAACCAAGGCGATGCAGATTTTTGTGCAGCAGGGTGGCCTGAGCTAAGCCGTGGCCAGTTTCTTATGTTGAAAAGGGGGGGGGTCGAACTACAAGTTGGGGGGGGGGGACTTGCTGTCGTTGGGGGGGGGTTCCGTTGGTTACCTACACAGGGAATGGAACTTGTTTTTTTTCTCCTTGGACTCAAGGCGTTCCTTGTTGGTTGCCTGAGCTAACCCAGGCATCCCCATATTTCCCCATTTTGATGGTTTTAAACCAACATGGATGGAGGCTACCTTCAGACGAGGGGGGGTAATTAGTCTGGAAAGGACCGCGGTGGTTTCAAACATCACCAGGTTTGGCCCATTTGCGGTGAGTTTCCCTTGGTAGGGGTGATGTTTGAAGGGGAAATATAGGGACCCCTGCAACCGGTGACCCTTTTCTTCTGCTTAAAGGGTGGTCTCCATTGGTTACCTATACAGGGAATGGAACTAGTTGTTTTCTTTGGACTAAAGGGTGTAGCATACAGGGAATGAAACTGGGCGGAGCAGGGGATGGTTGCCTTTAAACCATTGGGATGGCTGTCCATGTATAAGTAACCAAAACACGACGTGTTGGGGATAGGTTCTCTTTTCGAGCAACCACTGGGAAGGTAAATTAGAGAATGTCAGTGTCATGGAATCAATATGGTTTCTCTTTGGCCACCACATGAATCGCACACAGTTACACAGTTTTGTGCAGTTGACTCAGGCATTTGCATTTGCAACTGCTGCACATGATGCTTGTCTTCCTCCCAGGTTCCTTGACTCAGGTTGCCACCTCCAGTATGCACGAAACAGCCGCTGCTGCCGTGGAATCCGATAGAGACAAGAAGTTGTACCCCGGAGAGGTCAGCTGTGATACAACACCCCCTGACTGGAAACCCTACTAAGGCGTTTGAAGGAGGCAACTGCATCTCCTGAAACTGCTCGCTTCAAGGGTGTCGGTCTGCCATAATTTTGGCGTACTTGCCGCGTCAAAGACACTGAGTCCCATTTTCACAATGTGTTCCTTGACAAGGTGACATTGACGAGAAACACTCCTGGCAGCTTTGCTCCATCTTTTTGGCAAGCTTCTCGGTCATGTTGATAAACATCTGCCAGGAAGCGCACCAGGTGGCGTGAAAGGCTTCACGATGTGCTCCAATTGAATTTGGACTGCGTTGGAAACTAGTCGGACTCTTTTGAATGGCCAAACATATGGGGAACGCCCTAAGTGGTTGTTGGACCAAAACCCGGTGTAGTGTCCGCACTGCAACATCAAACCCAAATGTTTGGCTCGCTTTGCCCGGAGCCGACCACCAAGCCATCAGACTGGACCCGCGCTTCACGGCGGCAGGAGGTGTTGTTCAAGCTTTGGTTCCAGCGCCGGGATGGCAAGCCCTGCGTCTTCGAGCACGTCTTCCTGGGCGCCTCAGAATGAATCGAAATACGAAGCAAGTTGGGGAAAACACGCGAAGTTGCACATAGGCGTTTCTCTAAAGCAGAGTCTAAAAGAAGACTGTTGGTTGCCTTTTAGTTGTCCTTTAGCATCCTGGACCGTTTTGAGAACACCAAACTGACGCCCAGTGGATCCCAGGCAAGCCGCTTGAATTGGCAACCATCAAGCCTCCTTTGAGATTTGAAAGGAGAACGGTGTACGTTTGAAAACGCCGACAAAGACATGACTGAGTTGTGCTACTCACCTGAAATCTTAGTCCGGACTTTTGGATTCTGGATCCAGGGAGTTTGATGAAATCCCCCCTGTTCCATCATTCAAGAGTGCTGAAAGAGTGGAAGAAGAGCCCTACGGTAGGAGTCACCAAGAGCAGTCTACATGAATTGGGTCCATTGTACCCAGATTCCAGTATAATTTACAGTACAATAGGTACTCAGCCATTTCGCTTTTGGTTTTTAAAGCTTGGTTCCCTTGGGGACTCGCAGGGGTGTTTGTATGCGACAGGTGGCCTGTGTTTGGAGCCTAACCTCCTTCCATGAACCCAGTTGGCGATTTTGGGGTTTTGAACCCCCTGAAAATGGATCTGGAAGTTGCCCCGAGTGCTCAAAAGCGCTTAGTGGGTATGATGTTGATTTGAGCACCTCTCCAAATCAAGGTTGGTGGAAATAAATCCCCACCTGAACAACGTCCACCAAAGGGTTACCCATCATGTGTGGCAGGCTTCATGTTTTGGAGCCCATGTGGGAGATGTGGGAGGAATTGGGGCTCGGTTCCTTGAGGAGCCTAGTCAATACAAGCCCTCACCAAACTGGCTGCGCGGTGGCCTAGAAATCAAGAACGAACGGATGGACGGTTACCACCCCCCCCCCGGGAATAAGAAGCTAGCTAAATTTGGTCATCTATACTGTGGGTTTGGGTTTTAGCAGAAATCGTTATAAGGACCCAACCCTGAAACATGTTAAAACAGGTGGTTGGCCCAACTCCTTTGGTCTCTTTGTAGCGATGTGGAAGGTTAGTTGGAGTCAGGCGCAGGAGACAAACGTGCTCCTGGTTGATAATTATCCTCCATAAACACGAGTATGGATATCATTTGCTTTTCCTTTTCGAGCCGCCGCGCTTTTTACTGCTCAGCATGCTTTATTGTGTGTCGTGTGTTCCCTGGTTGATGCCGCCTCAGAATTCACAATGGACGAGACTCAGAGCCACCCTCCATTCAAAATAGCCACCCCCTGCCCAGAAAAGGAATTATGCACCAAGGAAAAATGTGCTTGCAATATACCCCGCTCTCGACCCTTCAAAGAGCGAGTCTTTGGAGTAGGCGGGGCTCTGGTGTTTCCTCCCGCACCACACGGATTGCGGAGGCAATCTCACGGAGGACATCTCAGGGCAGCCAGTGGCCGGGGGATTTCACTGCTGGCTGAAGTTCTACCTTGAAGAGGCCGGTTTGGGGGCCATGGATGTGAGCCATGGTGGCCCTGCCACAACATGCGCGTGCGGTTTTTGAGGGTGCCTACCCACGGTGTTTGAACACGATGCCATGGAACCCGCTGAGTTTTGGTTGGGACAAACAAACCAAACGATTTCCCGGAGGAATCTTCCTTGGATTGGACCCTGTTTGGGCTCCATCTGAAGCTTCATGGGAGCAAATATTGATGGGAGCTGAAACTTGGGGAATAAAGTAGAACCTTGGCAGACACGGCATGCATCAAGTTCGGTATTTTCCAGGATCTACATTGGACAACTCGCAATGAGGCAAAAGGGCTCGGGACTCGGCCCAGGTCAGAGGCACAGCAAGATACCTGGGATACATTTACAACAACGCGCAGGCTGGCTTGGTGAACAGCAGGCCGGACAGCTTTGGATCGCGCTCAACGACTCAAGTCGCGTTGGTAGGTCGCGGTGACCCCAGAAATTTCCCTACCTCAGGGATTACTAGGGGGGTTCTCCCCCAAAGTCAAAGATTACCCTCTAAGATGGGAGACCCCTACACCAACTTTTTCCGTTGCAGCAGTTGTTTTGCGCTGATTATGACCCCTCGCCGCGTATTTTTGTGGGAACGTTGGATTCAGGTTTCCTTTGGCTGGCTCCAAGCATGAGAGACCACAGATGCGGGGACGAATTTTCGACTAGCGGGCTGTCCCGGAACGGAGGCGATCCATGACTTTTGGAGTGGTTGGGAAGATCGTTGAAGTCGCACCAGTCCCATGGACTGACATAAAAACATTGGAATGTAGACTTTTGCTCACTGTGAATTGCCGCCTTTTTTCCAACTGCGTATTGAGTATTGACTGCATCGTTGTTGTTGGGAAACACTTTACATTTTGCTTATTGTGGTTGAGTGGGAAATCCCCTCTAAACTGCCAATTTATTGTTTTGTTGCTCCCCTTCCAACGTCAAGGCATCTGAAAGTTGGGTTTGCGGGTGCTGATCCTACGTCGAGCAGACTCTTCCATGGCCATGCCTTATGAGTGACATGTGTGCCAATGAGCGGGAGAAACAATCACAGGTTGATACAACAATGCAGTCCAAATGTAAGGTGCAGGCCTAGAATGTGTATACATAAATGAATAGATCAATATATATATATATATATATATATATATGTGCAGGACACGCTCACTCAGCAGCCCAGGTAGATACCCCTCTTAATATCATAGAAGGGCCTCCTTACTCACAGAAGCCCAGTGATGCCATTCTGAACATATGGACCGCCCTACACATTTGTCTCAAACTGAGTTCTCCGAAAGACAGGGCTTCGGCCATGCGACTCTTCACCCACCGCCCGCGGTGAGTCGCCGGAATTGCAGGTTCGTGTCTGGCAAGTTCGTGTGGGACTATGCAGGGCACAAGCTCGTGAAGGACTCGGTCCGCGAGCGGAAGCAGAACCGGCGGGTAGCGAGGTCCCTTCAACAGGAAAATTGTTTTCCAGGAGCCCCTGTGCAGGTTTTATGTTTTTTTGTAAAGGCGGGTAGCGAATTGGCCACATGTATGGCCTAATAGCGTGGGGGTTCTTTTGCAGAGGACGATCTTTTTGGGTGGCCGCCTTTTCAAGCAACCCAGCTCCATTTGTGGGGGAGTATGCCAAGCTGGTTCCCAAAAGGAGGTCAAAAGCAGTACCCTGTTCCACAGACCAAGATGCCTAGAGCCTGCGCACAGTCCGAGCGTTTTGGTCGAGGGGAACTCAAGGGCAGTTGTGTCTCAAGATCAACTTACCTCTTAAAAACACAACTTCTCAACTTTTTGGGTAACATGGGCTATATATGTCTGTAAAAGATTAACTTCCCCAGGGCTTGGAGTTTTAAGGGGTAAGTCAATGTAAGGTCCAAAGAAGTTTGTCTTGTTAGAACATGAAAACTTTCGAGAGCATGAGAAGGGTTTTCGATCGCTGCAGAGCTCCGGCGCTTCCGGTTTGAGACGGCGCGGGCTTCTTTCACTTGTTATGTTATATATATATGCGTATGTTATATGTATTCTCTTTTCGAGAGGGTTCCCTTTTCATTTTCAGCTTGGCTTAAGCGGAAACAAAGAAGACTTACCTCATTTAGGGTCCGCTTATGTTGTCATATTCCCATTCATCCTCTTTCGTGGTTGGCTGCTTTGCCAATCGAGCGCGTGTTCGCCTCAGTGGGATGTACATGAGCTTATGGCTATGAGCTTCACGAGTTGGCACCTAGGTGGTCGGACATGAATCCCAACCAGTCCACCATCAAACTTCACACCCCGTCGGAAGTTTGCAAAAACTGGGTCCTTTGGCTTGCAAGTCCTTTCATTCGGCTGTTGTCGGACTTGATTGACAAGGCCCACAGCGGCCGCGTCAACTTCAGATACAGCAAGATAGGCCATCTGTGCTTTGTGAGGCTACCCTTTTGAGGGTTCGTTTCAAGGGAAACCAAAAGGACACGAATCATTTGAGGCCGTATGTTTACACACGAACGTGCAGGAACAACGAGCAGATCACACACACAGCAGCATATGCAAGAGTAAGAGCACCCACATCCTTCTCAAGAATGGCCAGGCTATCCTGTCCACGTTGTTTTCTTCCTGCCATGAATTAGGTGGGCAGAACATCCCGTGCGTAGATGTCCGCTGCAGGAGTCTGGATGGTGAGAGCCAACTTTGCCCGCCTTTCCTCATACTAGGGGGTTTTCCCCTTGAAATAGAACTTGTAGATATTCCAAGTAATACCAGCAATGTCCTCAATGATCCCAATTCAGATTTGTAACACTCGCAAAACCTCGAAAGAACATGTGTTCCCCGTACCATGCGCACGTCTACCACAAGGAAACCAACAGCAACCCCACAGTTTTGAAAGGATCAGCAACCCGTAATTTTGAGGGCAACCCTTAATTGGTAGTTTGGGTTTGTGGTTTGGGGATGTGAACCCCTGGTTCTTCTGAGGGTAAATCAACATGGTGATGATCCTGTTTCGTTTCCGTAAAAGAACCCCCCAACATGGTCCAACATGGTGATGATCCTATTGTTTTCCCTTAGAACCATCCCAACTTGGTACTCCAAAAGACAAAACCCAGCTTTCGGACCTATTTTGAGACAGGTTCCTCAAGGGTTGCCCAGAGCTTCTTAGTGTACCCTAAGGTTCCCTAGAGCATCCTTACAGATGTCCTAGGGAACTTTCTTGGACCACAGGGATTCCCAGATGTGTTTCCTCCCTTAGTGTTCTTTAGGATTCCCCAAAGTTCTCTAGGGTTCCTTAGATATGCCTTAAGCAACCCCCCCTTGGACCACCACCATTTAAAAGAACAACCTTCTTAGAGTTCCTTAGGGTTCCTTAGAGATGCTTTCTGGAAACTGTCTTGGACCCTAGGGCTTCAGCTTCCCGCGCTTTTTTTGGGTCAGGACCAGGGCGGCTTCTTCATCGGCACCTCGCCGGAGTGGCAGCTGGCCACGGGCACGGTGGCCTACTTCGAGACCTCCACGGCCAAGTTGGCGCGGCAGAACGACTGGATCCCCTGGACCGGGGCCTACGACGAGGGCTACACCAAGGACGGTTTGCGTCACGAGACGGCGAGAGACGACTCGCGAGCGAGAGACGGCACGAAAAGAGAGACGGAAAGACGAGTGGTTCGTAAGAGACGAGAAGACGAGAAGACGTAGGGGGAGACTCACGAGCCAAAAGAAGATCCGGGAAATGGAGGGGAAGGGAGAGTCGGGTGGAGTGACGAGTGAGTCACAAGCAAGAAGTATGGGTAAATGGAGGGTAAGGGAGAATCCTCTTGCCACAAATGGGTGCGGCCGCCTGTTGAATTCTTTACATGGTTCTGGCTAGAAAAAAATGAGTGCCGGGCCTTGATTGTGACAAGTCTGGTTTAGGTTGTTCCGACATGGGTTCTGCCTTTTTTAATGGCGAGCTCGGGGTAACATGGGCTTACCAGGATAAAAGGTCGTTTACTTGGGGATTCCTCATTCAGCTTTTGGATGCATAATGAAACATGCAGATGGGTTACGTATGCAAGAGTGTGTAGTGAATTCTCAGAGTTTTACAAGGACCTGAGGAATGTGTGAAGTCAGGCAGGGGAGCCAGGCCACTTGGGTCCAGGACGCCTGTGATCTGTTGGAGACCGTTCTTCATTTTGAGGTTTACTCAATGTGGACCAGGACCAAACATATGTGTGTTGCTTGGGCCGGAGCTGAGGTAGGCACAATGCTGTCACTTGCATGGGTGCAGTTGTTTCTTGAAGATGCCCGTTGGGAGATTGTGGTTGAAGAGAAGTCAAAATGGGTGTGCCGTTTTAAGGTGAAGCTTGTATTGTTTATGGGGCAGGGGGTTCTGCGGTGAAGTTAGATGCTTTTTGGGCAAGCTATAGTGGAAGCCACGAGGGGATGGTTCTTGATTGTTTCTCCATGCGCAATGGTTAGGCTTCGCACTCACACGGGGTGTTTTGTTTTTTGTTCTAAGGCAATTGCGGTTGGATTAGATGAAAACAAAGAGACATCAGCCTGTCAGCCCCTTGCGTGGTATTTGGAATGAATTTCGACTCTTCAGGTCAAGGCATGGCGACCTCACAAAGGAAAGGGATTTGGTTTGCGACCGACGTGACCCAGGTTTAAAGGATTCTTTCATACGTAGGGAAGGAAGCCTCATGTTCGATTGGTGTATTCTTTCAGTTTGCAAAGCACCCAATGCCAGATAGATGACTTCTCACATGTCACACGAGCAAAAGTGAAGCAACCACTAGATGTACTTGACAGGGCTTTGTTCAATTTTGGGTTGGCGAAGCGGATTTCCGTGTAGAGGCTCCCCATTCGGAGATATTCCGCCCAAGGTCTCGACCGGGGTTTCCTGGTCAGGTTGCTTGAAGTGAATCGCCACTTGATTTGTTGAAGGGCGAGTTCGACTGGTTGAGATTCTCTCTCAAATGATGGGACTCTTTTTTTTGGTAGAAGTGTTCCTTCTATATGCCTTCTGTCACATCTGAACCTGCAAGGAGATCAATGTTCAGATTGAGGCAGCCGGCAAGTGTTGAAACTGAAAGAGCGAATCAGGAGACAACGCTGGATGGCGAGCGGTACAGGCATGTGCTTTGCCGTACTGGGCACAGCAGCGCAGATGACTTGGTGGAGGATAGTGGCTTTGCTGAAGATGGCTTTCCAGGCTCTTTCAGACTTCAGGTACATTCCTATTCCTGGGTAAAAGACAAAGAGCTGTCTTAACTCTGTGTGGCGGAGTCAGATGCCTCTTGAATTTCTCAGCTAGTGACTGAAGCAAGAAACAGACGGTATGTGCGGTATGTGTTGCACAGGACGCAAGCACAATTTCCAAGTGTTGAAAGGGGTGTTTTCAAGGTAACATCTGTATTTTGACCAGGCCGCCATAGGACTGGTCACACCCACGGCTGAAAATAATTTCGAGATATACGTTGGGAGAGCACCTGTGGGAACCCAGGCCGGTTGGCAGATTTGCTTGATCCAAAAAGGGTGCCGCTCCGTTTGGGGGTCCCTTACTTTGTTTGCACCTTGGTTTCGGGCAAACCAAAGCGAACTCCACCAACGTCACTAGAGGTTTCTTGGTTCATAGTGTTCCGCCAAGCAAGTATTCCTGATGGCCCAGGAATGACAAAGTCCATTAAAGTCCTTCATCGATTTGGGTGCCACTGTAAGGGAGATCCGGCTTACTCTTTTTGGAAGCCCCCAGTGAACGACGTTGCAGGCTCGCTTTGGTATCTTTCTACTTGCACAGGTTTAACACTGCAATACAATCCGAAGCACTACTAGGTCCCCCGGTAGTGCCCTTGTACCCTTTTTTTGGGGGAGGGTTCCCCTATCAAAATAGACTACAGAAAAAAAAGGGGTACCCTTATTTTAACCTCTCTACTGGCCAACCCAGACTAACCAGCCATCGATCCAATTTCACGGACCTTCTGGGCGCCCATGAGTGGTTTCGGCTTAACCTCCACTGCAAGGGGTGGCTTTGGAGCTCTCCATGCGGCCAGACAATGTGTGGCATACACATTAGCCGCAAAATCAGGGCAAGTCAACAACCACGTAGCATGTGGCTATTCAACTTAAATGCCTAATCAGCTTAATAGGCGGCTTAATCGGCCCTCATCATGTGGTTGCTATTAAGCTTCAGCAATGCTTACCATGGACTTAACTTTGGCTTAACCTGGGTTTGCTCAATAGGCCTTAAGGCAATGTTTGGATGTTGCAAGCACATTGCGGGTGTCTCCCCCTCCCAAGCCTTGCTTTCTTCGGGCCGCACTTCTTTGCTCAAGGTGAGGAATTCTCGCAATGTACCCGACAGGAAGAACCAACTTGCTTTGACTTGGCAAACTAAGTTGATTTACCGACCCTTCGACTTTCATATTTTTGAGTTTAGAGTTGCATGTTCCACTAACATTTGAGTTTTTTAGATTGGCATCAAACAGTTGGATTTATGACATGTCCGCCGAGCTCCCCACCAACATTTGAGTTTTTAGGGTGGGATCAAACTGAACCGCTGAGTTACCCAGGCCCAAACTTGTTCCTGTTTTCCACCGTAGGTGGGTCCTTGGTGACCTCCTACGCGATTTACTTGGGCCCCGCCATCCAGAAGGAGACTGGCCCGGATCAGATCTGCAGTAGTGCCTCGGGATTCAAAGGCTCCTTTGGGAGGACTGGGAACGGATAAGCAAACCCACTGGTTAAGTAGGGGTGTGCGGTTCAATGGGACTAAACGGGACTTTGTTTTTACTTCCCTCAACTTTTAGAGGTTGGATCCTTATCGACTTGCAGGCCAGCCCATAGATTTTTGTCCATGGTCAAAAGGCCTAGGCATGATCATGGACCTTTCGGGAAATTCCGACAGATATACGAATATTGCGTCAGCCATGACCATGGTCCACCATGAATTTTCAGAGTTGGAACAATCTTAAAACATGTGGTTGCTGGACATTAACCATGACTCCCCAACGAAATGTCATGTCCACCAAAACTAAAAGTATTGCGAGCATTTCAACATACTCCCCAAAATGCCTGGAAATCCTTTTGGATTTCCTTTATAACCATCCCACCTTTTGGGGCGGTACCCTCCAAACACCGAGCGAGACCCACTTAATCCCCCGAGAAAAAGGTGTCTTTTTTTCTTCTCGAAACCAGCCCTGGGGTGCCCAAAATTGCCCTCGCCCGCTCGCCCGGGCTCCGAGTCCTTTCTCTCAGGCGCCGAGTTGGCCCAAGAGCTGCCTCGCTGGCTGGTGGAGGACGGCATCACCCTGCGGGAGGACAGCACCCTCAGCAAGGCCGGCCGGTTCCGCTTCGCTTCAGCGACGCGGGCGCGTCGCCGGCCGTGTCCGCAAGCGTTCGAAAGCGTCCGCCAGCTTTCGGAGGAAAAAGTTGCTGCGCGGCAGGCTCAGAATGTCTGATTTGTGTGACTTGCAACATGTTTGTGTTTTGTTGCGTCTGTGCGTACATTATAGCTTTTGAGACATGGAGTCCCGTGTTGTTTCGCTGCGCAAGCGCTGTGTTCTGGAGTATCACGTGTTTGCGTCGCCGCGCGATTGTGATTTGCGCTTCAGAGGTGGTCGTTTTGAGGTCTCTTGTTCGGGCAGCACCCTAGCGCTGCAGTACTTCGGAACTTCGGAGCTTGGCGTGCAGCGTGTTGGATCTTGGCGCGCAGATTTCATGGCAGGCGCAGTAGTTTATTTAGGCGCAGTAGTTTATTTAGGCGTGCACAATTCGTGGCAGGCGCAGTGCTTTGGAGATTGGCGCAGATTTTGAGGCAGGCGCGAGACTTTGGAGCTTGGCGCGCAGATGCCGAGGCAGGCGCAGCACTTTGGGGCAGGCGCAACTTTGGGATGTCTTCGCAGGGATGCTTTAGAAGGGATGCCTTGGGGGGTGTCTCCGGGTGTTTTTGCGGTTGTCTTGGGTTGTCTGTGGACTGCTTCTCGGGGGATTGTCTTCGGGGTGTCTTGGGGGAATGTCTTTGTGGTTGGGGGTGTTTTTGGAACGTGTCTTCGGAACATGAGGATTAAGCTTGGATGTCTGCGCCCGAAAAGGGGGGGTCTTTGAACATGTCTTTGTGGTTGTTTGGGGTGGTGTCTTTGGGGAAAGGCTTTGGGGGATGTTGTCTTGGATGTCTTTGGGTGTTTGGGGATGTCTTTGTGGTTGATGTATTTGATGTGTCTTTGTGGATGTTTTGGGGAATTGTCAATGGGGATGTCGTTGGCGGGTATCTTTAGAGCATGTCTCAGAAGATGTGTTGGCAGCGTCTCAGAAAATGTCGGTTGGGGATTTCTCTTGTGGATGGTCTTTGGAGGCCGTCGTTGTGTTGGGTGGCTTTTGGGGATGACTCTTTGGAGATTGTGTCTGGAACATGTTGTTGAACATACCTTCTCGGGATGTATTCCGTAGCGTTTTTTTGGGGAATGTCTTGCGGATGTATTGGGAGATGAATCTTTGGGGGTGTGTTGTGTCTTTGAGGGCGTTTTTGGTGATGTCTTTTCTGGGACATGTCTTTGCACACGTTTCTTCCAGGGACGTCTTAGATGTCTTGGGGGCTGTCTCTGGGGATGACTTTGGGGTTGTCTTGGGGCGCTTGCGGGATGTCCTTGAGTATGCGTTGCAATGCTTCGGGTGTGTGTGTGTGTGTGTGTGTCTGTGTGTCTGTGTGTCTGTGTGTCTGTGTGTCTGTGTGTCTGTGTGTCTGTGTGTCTGTGTGTCTGTGTGTCTGTGTGTCTGTGTGTCTGTGTGTCTGTGTGTCTGTGTGTCTGTGTGTCTGTGTGTCTGTGTGTCTGTGTGTCTGTGTGTCTGTGTGTGGGTGTGTGTGGTGTGTGGGTGTGTGTGTGTGTGTGTGTGTGTGTGTGTGTGTGTGTGTGTGTGTGTGTGTGTGTGTGTGTGTGTGTGTGTGTGTGTGTGTGTGTGTGTGTGTGTGTGTGTGTGTGTGTGTGTGTGTGTGTGTGTGTGTGTGTGTGTGTGTGTGTGTGTGTGTGTGTGTGTGTGTGTGTGTGTGTGTTTTTGGGGGGTTTGTTTTGGGCATGCATTGTACAGTGTATTTGGTGGCTTGCTTTTAGGCAGGCTTTCTTGTCATGCTGGCTGGAAGGGGGAAGGCTTCCCAGCTGCGTCTCAGGGGCGGCAGTGTGGGCAGCCATGTGGGGTAGTCAAGCGATCGCCTGCGGGACGACGACCTTCGGGAATCAATGAAGAGATGAATTTGTCTCACGTTTGTCTCCAAAAGGAAGCGTGCACACAATCCGGTTCCCCCCCAAAGCCAAGCCAGACGGATATCCTCAAAAATCAACACACCGTGACACCCACGTGACTTAACGACAAAAGAGAGCCTTTCAATGAACAGCCTTCAACCGGTCCAGGACCAGGGAGGAGCAAGCAGGTACCATGAGCGCGCATCGGTGTCCTTTCACTGATGTCACTAGTTTCAGTTTGTTTCTGGCTCTAATTTGCCAGATCCTCAATTGCTCGAAGAGGGCGCTCAGGATTCCGGGCCATGTGAAGGCTGCTTAAGGCCATGCCAGTCTAGAGGCTTCGGGGACATGTTCTCAGAGGTCCCTTTCTGGACCCCCTTTTTCACTTTGCATTGGTTCCCCTCAGGGAGGTCGCCAAGTTTGACAGCTTCCCTGTATTCTGAGCAGGTCCTGATCGCACTTGGCTTGTATAAGACAACAGTTCATAGCTCAAACAGTGTGCTTGCCAAATTGCCAAAACGGGGTCTGTCAGTTGCGTTTTCTTCTCGTTAGACAGTGAATGGACTGAGTTGAGGCTTGAGTGGTCATAGATCGCTCAGGCCAAAAGGTTTACCCACTGGCTGAAGCCGTTGAAATCTATTCAGGCGGGTAGGAAATTGTGCCTGGTGATCTCAAGCCAGACGCAAACGATATTCAACAGGGATGGGGGTTTCCAGACCCCATACGCATTGGCTCATAGCCATGAACACCCACAGGAGACCAACATGACATGAGTGGGTTGTTTCCATTGGCTTTGCCAAACAAAGCCTTCAAGGGCTCCTTGCAAACCAGTTCAATTCCTATGGCCATTTGGCAGGTTTCCAACTTCATTCACCCCATGTTTGGGTGGGTTTTACTACTAAGACACTTAAGGGAAACATGAGGGAGGTTTGACCATGCCATATATAACCGGGTTGCTCAAACTAATCCTCGATTCTTATGCCAGATGGTGGTTTCCAGAAAAGCGGATTTATTTAGATCCAACCATTTTGAGAGGCACATAGAATCATTTGGGTGGTTTTTGTACCAGGTTTGTGGCTATGTAGAAGGCCCCCACCCCCCCGGCGCCAGGAATGCGTGCGCTTCTGCATCGCCCGGGGCTGCCGCTCGGTTCAGGAGGCGCTGGCATCGGTGCGGGAGGCGGGGTCGAGCGAGCGGGGATGCGGCCTGCCGGGGGGTTGTGGTCAGACCCAGCTCCGATCTCAGTTGCGTTCTCGAATGTTCTTGCCCATCCAATCAAGCGAGTTGTTCGGTGGGTTCCATTTGGTTGTTTTGTGTTTTTGGTGGGGCATTCCTTTGGGGGGGTTGAGTTCTTCGACTTCTGAGTCATTGGGTTTGGACCATTTTAGTGGCACAAAAGTTCGGGTTCGGACTCTTTCTGGCCAATCCAATCCAGGCAAGTGAGTTGTTCGGGGGGTTCCATTCCCTTTGGTTAGTGTCTGTGTTTTTGGTGGGGCATTCCTGGGGTGGGGGGGTATCCATTTTCCTGTCGCTTGAGCTGTCCAGGGTTCCCTTTTTCCACTGGTTTCGGGTGGGTTTACCTTTCAAATTGGCCCATCTTTGCAATGGCATCTTCCTGAGTGCTGAAGGCTCCAGGTACATGACTCCGTGATCAAAGTGCCCTGACTCCAGGTCCGCATACAAGAAATATATTGACCATTGTGCCAAGATGATGTCGATGCTTTTCCTTCTAGTCTCCTTTGAACTCGACCCAGGGCTTAGTTTCTAGGCGAGCCTTCAGCTGCTCAGAAGACTTTGCTGAGTTGCGCTATGGCCGAAGACCGACAACCCAAGCTGCTGGATTTTTTGGTGGTGTCCCAGCTTTTGGTTGCAGAACAAGTTACCGATGGGTTGCTCTCTTGCAAAGTCTTTGCTAATCCCGGGGTCCTGTTGGAAAGGGGACTACCCATCCCGACATGCGGTTTGATCGCGCGAGCTAGTTGCGTGAAACCAAAGGGAAGCCAAAGGGAAGCCAAGGGGAACCAACGGGAAATCAAAGGGACACAAAAGAAACGGGAAACTGAAAGGAATCCGAAGGGAAACCGGGAATGCCCCTTCCGCTTGACTGCTATATACTGCTATTTGGTTGGATCTTTAGACTTTAACTTTTTGGTTGAAATCAAGTTGGGTTTTCCACTTAACCCCCCAAAGGTGAGACTTTCTGCAGGGGGGTCAACAGCAACCAAGTCCGCTTCCCCGAGCTCGACTTAACAACTCGAGGCTTTGGTCTTTGACCTGGAGGACGCTGTGAGTGCCGCGAAGGCTGAGGGCTACCCACGGATCCGAGCGCTGGTGCAGGATACCCTCGAGGTGCCGTTCGTGGGGTCGTGGGGGGGTGGGGATTGCCAGCGTCCTGATTCAACTGCCTCCCAAGCAATTTGGGATGGATAGAAAAATATAGACTTCCATTTATGCTTCAGAACATGCTTTGTATTTTCCCCTGTTGGTTTTTAAAGGAATCTATCACTATTGGATTTTTTCCTGGGGCTTGAGCAAGTGGAGGTATATTATATGGAACCGAGTTTTTGTTTTGCAGTGTTACCCGGATGCGGGCCCCCACTTAGCATCCAACTACTCCTCGTATCATGGTGGCAGTTTCATGGTGCCTGCTTTCCGGCGTCGTAAGGTGGTGGGCTCGGTCATGTTTGGGGAAGGCTTTCCCGGATACACGCAAAATCCCCACACATGAATTTGGTTTCTTCTTTGTAATCATAGCTCGAGTCATGAACCCAAACCATATGCCGAAGCATGCACTTCGAGGGCCGGGAACGTGTTTTGAGACCAAGCCTTCCCCTTCCCAACTCTCCAAGCCCCCCACACGGCGCACACACCCCACACCCCACCCCCGCCCAAACCTCTGAACCCCGTCCCAGCCTCAGGTGGTTCCGGTGTTGCTGCACTTCAGCAGGTGCTTGGGCGCGTCGCTGCCTGCACTGCTGGCGGAGCTTCGGGCGCAGGGCAGACGAGGATCGACCCGTGCGGACGGGCTCGTTGTCCGTTGCTTTTGTTGTGGCGGGCGGGGGGGGGGATAATAAACTCTCTTTTTTTTGGCTTCAACAAACAACATAAAAAGGGGTGGGGTGGGGTGGGGTGGGGTGGGGTGGGGTGGGGTGGGGTGGGGTGGGGTGGGGTGGGGTGGGGTGGGGTGGGGTGGGGTGGGGTGGGGTGGGGTTGGGGAGGGGAGGGGAGGGGAGGGGAGGACGGGTGTGGGGGGGGGGTGATTGACCGCTTTTTGTTTAGATGTTTGTTGCTTTTTCTGCGGTCTGCGGTTGGGTGTTTTGGGGGGGGGGGGGGGGTGGGAGATTGACTTCCTTGTTTTTTTTTGTTTGTTGCTTGTCGGGGGGTGTTTTACCCTTTGTTTTGGGTGGTTGTCGGGTGTGTTGGGAGTGGTGTTGACATCATTATGTTAAAGCTCGCAAAAGTCAGAATCTACGGATATCTGGAATTTACTTGAGCAAAAAGCCTGGGTGGGGGGGGGGGAGTTGGGGTTGGGGGGCGGGTGGCCGGGGTTTCTTGAGTCTTTTTGGGGTTGGGGTAGCTGCACCAAAAGATCCAAAAAGCCAATACCCAGGTGGTTCGTCCGGCCATCCACCCAGGCAGTTGCCCAGTGGCACTTAGCACTCTTTCTTCCTGTTGCTGGGAACGGGGGTCTGTTAAGAATCATCCAAGCAAAGCCCTTTTCAAATGTCGGCTATTTCCGTACAAACTACTGGGACCACACAAATGGGGGGGGGTTCTCTTTGGTTTCCATTTAAACCATCCCCAAAAGGGTAACAATCCGGAAATTTGCGCTATGGTCACCCATCGCCCGGAAGCTTTTTCCAAGCGCTCATTTGTTTCTTGAAGGAACAAGCACAAAACGGTGGCAGGCGCAGTGGATTGAAAGCTCAAATGGCTCATAGTCAGCATCCGCATCGCTGGCAGAAGCAGCAACACATGCGCACCGCAGGCTTGGTTTGATTCCTTTACTAGAATCAACAAAAATAAGACATTCCAACAGTACCAGAGCTTAACGTCATGCTCAGCATGAACCTGATGAAAAGACATGTCACCTAAAATTGCGGCAGGTGTGGGGCTTGTCGCACGAAGAGCGAATCCAAAGCAAGAAAGGTGTTTGCCAGGTAGGCAACCAAAAGCGTGGATCGTGACTTGCCCATGTCCGGACCGGGCTTTGAGCTGAAACTGGCGCAGCTTACTCTTAGGTCCCTTTTTGTCAGCTTCTCAGAAAGGTTGTGATCTCGGTTCTTTGAAGGCTTCGGCGGATGCATTGGCTGAAACTCGAGCGTTTGGGGGGAGCATGTTTTGTTTTTTCTTTTTTCTTTTTTTTTTTTTTTCCGGTGGAAGGGGTGCGTTGCGCGTAAAGATAAGGCGGCGAAAGTGGGTCCTCTTTTTTCTGTTGGTTTCCCTTCAGACCTAACTGGAAGAGATTCCCTCAAACAAACAAGCGGACAAACAAGCAACCAAACCAACCAAACGAAACAAAACAACCATAAACAAAGAAAGAACGAAAGAAATAAGGAAGGAAGGAAGGAAAGAAAGAAAGAAAAAGGAAAGACACAACGGAAACAGACAGACATACAGACAAACAAACAAGCAAACAATCAAACAAGCAAACAAATAACTCAAATCAAGAGAGACAGACAGAAACAGACAGACAGAAACAGACAGACAGAAACAGACAGACAGAAACAGGCAGACAGAAACAGACAGACACAAGCAGACAGGCAGAAGCAGACAAACAGAAACAGACAAGCAAAGAAGGAAGGGCGGGTTCCCTGCTTTGAAGGAACTCCACCCAAGTTGAGCTCGGAAGGCCCTCGGCTGCACCAACCTATTCGCCTGCTGCTGACCGGGCGCGCGGACGGTTGTCCGGTGCCGGACCTGGTGCAGCTGCTGGAGTTAGCGCAAACGGAAGGCGCCACGGAGGCGTTTGTTGAAGGCAGTTTCCTTGAACATACATAGAAATAGATCAGGGTTGTGGAATCAAGGGGTTTATTCCCACTTCTGTGATACAAGGGAATCTCCCCCTGTATATGGGGTGTTAGTCTTTGGGAAGCCCTTTCTGTTGTATCACAGAAGTGGTCATTTCCCACAACCCTGAAGTAGATGGATTACACTATTGGTAGAACCATTTTATGAATTTTGCTATTGTAGGTTTGCCAATGACTCTGAATGTTCTTGGGGGTTGAGCTTAAACAACTTCTTGCGGCGGCGTTGTTTTGTTTTGGGGGTTGGGGGGAGGGGGGATATTTCACATCTTCTGATGGGCGGGGTTGAGCCGGTTCTGAAGGTTGTCCCTTTAGGCCAGCTGGGCAGAAAACAGCTAGATTCCAGTGATACTAGATTGGTTGAACATCCAAAGCTCGGAATTGTAGATGTTTAGTTTAGAGGGGTTTATGGTTTATATCATATCCTGCCCGACACTGTGGCGTTTGAGCAAGGGCTCAACAAAGCTCCAAAGGAGCTTACCGACACGCCAAGGCCAGGGAATTGCTTCTACTTTTTTTGGGCTTGGTTGAAATCAAATATCACAGTTTGATCATTCTTATCAATTGAGCTAGCCCACTTCAAGCTTTTTGCTGGTTCTTCATCAGTTCAGTGGCCAAAAAAGATTCCACCACTTGAAATCCAGAGGCATTGGTTCTTTCCACCCATGGCTAGGCAAAGCAATTTGGTTGCCTAACGGATCCCAGGACAAAAATCGGGTACAGCTAGAAAGTTGCAACCTCGAGTCTTGGCTTGACCCAGTGGGGTCATGAAGACGCACAAAAAAGGGATGCCTGGGGAAGCGCAGAAAGGGCCGCCATTTTGTCAACTTGTCAACTCGCCCAGCTGTTTGTTTGGGTAGGAGTTCCTCTGATTTTCGCCAGCTTTTGCCTATGTTTCGATCGCGGTTTGATTGAAAGTTTGCCAACTATGAAAAGGTGTCTAGAATGTGTGTTGTTTGTTGATCGATTTTTTCTATACAAAGTGTGTTTCGAATTCAACCAACGGAGATGCTTTTTCCCCCCACAGGAAATATGCCAGGCAAGTGGAAAAGGAAGGGGGGGCAGCCGGCCGGGTTCTCAAAATGGTGGATGACCTTGTGGTCGGTACGTTAAAGTGAGACTAAAGGACACAACCGTTTTGGGCAGCCTAAATGGGTGTGGCTCAAAAAAAGTCAGGAGGGGTTACGCAGGTTTTGGTCCATGTTTCCACTTACTAGGGTTCCATTGTGGCACCAGTTTGGCCAAATTTGAGCAACACCTCATTGCAAGGAGGCCGAAGCTCCCAAGCACAAATACGACGTGGCCAGAAGCTGGATCCGTTTCTCCCGCCCCGGAAGGGAGACGGGCTTGTTTGCAAATGGGGAACCTCCCCTCCCGAGAAAAAAAAAAAAAAAAAACATCAAGAAGAAACAACCAAAAAAGCAATGGGTTTGAAACAAAAAAAGCAAACATGAACAAAACAACAATAAGCTTGTTTTATCCTTAAAGCAACACGAAGAAGGTAGCCCGAAACAAGCGCACACCAACATAGCCAGACTCATCTCAACTTTCTGCTCCTTTGCCAAATTGCTTTCTTTCAATTTCTGTTTTGACCGGCCGAAAGGCTTTTTTTTGTTTTCGTAGGGCTTTGAGTGTGGCCAAGTCAAATCTCAATATCAACTTCGGCTGTTAGGCGGCGACGATGCGGGCGTGCGGCTCCACGATCGTATCGAACTGATCCGGGAAATGTTCGCCACCCCGCCGGTGTCTCACGAAGAACCCAAAAACTCCACCGTGGCCTTTGTTAACTAGTCCTGGGATGTCCCCTCGGTCAAGGGAGTAGAAGTACTCCGCTTTCTTTTTTTTAGGATCTGTGAAAAGGGGTACTTGGGACGATTGTTTTTTCATGCTTGAGCCACTCTGGTTGAGGGACAACCCAAGATTCGTGAAGTCCGGATTCCGGTCTTCGGCCCGTGGCAGCGCGCTTCTCGAATGGTACGCGGAAGTGAAAGTCGGAATGTGTCAATGGCGCCTACGGGCGTGTCCTGCTCTGGGGACTACGCTGTTGGTTGGTTTCAGAGGGGGGCCAAAAGGAACTAACCATTTTGGTGTCCCCCTAATTTGTCATTTTGTGCAGAAGAGTAGTAGCTCCTGAGTTTGTCTCAAAGTGGGTTCTTCGCCCCCAGGCACTGATAGTTTGTGTTGGTTTACCCCTGAAACAACCCCTACAAAGGGTACCCCCAACGCAAATCCCCGAAATAGGGTAGGGTGGGGCCACCCATTGGTTTAAACATGTTTAAACCACTGGTTATGATGATTCTTCCCTTGTAAAGGTAATGTCTAAACCATATTTTGCCCCACCCTGAAATTGGGGGAGCAATATCCCATGGTTGGGGTTTGTTTCGCTCTAAATACCATATGTTCTTATATGTGACTTGGCCTCAGCGCGCGCAGATGGAGAGTCCAATTCTTTAAGTTGGTCGGGTGAGCTGGTGCATAAAGCTTGCTTGTTCAAAGTCGTGCTATAGGTCAAGCATGACGACGCTCACTTCGGAAATCGCAGCCGCCAGGCCAGTACTTGGACTGCAAACGTGCCGTCCACTGACAAAACGATACAATGAAGCTGCCTTGGCGAGGGGCAGCTTCTGGACACTGTGGACAGGTGGTTTCGCCGCTCGCAGCACATGGCTTTTCGTTTGCCTATCCTGTTTGCTGAATGCGGTTGGTGGCACGCGCAATCGGAAGCTGAGATCGGTGCATGTGAGCCCAACCTGTCCTCCGGCCGGGCAATTTCTGGCCACGCTATGGGCTTCGAACGCCCTTGCTCAAACATCTTGGATGGCTCGCTGCCAGTTCCACTCGATGTGCAAAGTCATGAAGCAGACTGGTTTCAGTCGCAGTGTTCTCATATGACAGGGCTCCTTAAAAGATACATGTTGCGCATCCGGATCCCTGCAATGACCGGCACGATTCAATGGGGGCAACTCTGAGGTTTCGATGACTTTGGGAGGAGTGGCCTGACCATGACGGTGTTTTGCATATGTAGCAGGGCTCTTCAATTATGAGATCCGAAGAACAAGGCCCCACGACGCGTGCCTGCTTGGGCCCCATACACACTATACGCCATTGGGGAGCCTGATTGAGAAAGCACTTGGCAGCCATAGGACAGCAGAGTTTCATATTCCATTCTAGGCCGTCTATGTATGAAACCCACAAACAAACAGTGACCACTGCTTTGCAGATGTCGAGCCCATACCACGCGTCCTCCCCATTGAATCGGTGAGTATCACACCCACGCGGGTTTTGGGAGTCCATGAAACGCCGGTGACTTCCCCGACCACTTTTCCACCCAGTCGGGTCGGGGGTGACGGCCTTCCGTCGCGCCGGAAACACTCGTTTTGCTGAGCGCACAGGGCTTTGGAGATTTGGGGTTGGGATAAGCAAATCATAGCAACCTCAGTTGACCTCACTCATAGAGATGCCTTCCTTGGTCACTGATTCTACGAGCATCAGTACCCCTTGTTCATATCCATTGGTTTCTTTGTATAGCAGTATACATAGATAGCCTTCTTGGGCGCGGGGGGGGGAATCAAGGCTAGGTCATGCAAGGGCATGATTAAAAGTGTGGTGTATATTAATGTTGTTTTTTGAGCAATTTTACCCATAATGAAGCCAGCTTGGTGAACGCCAGTCTTGTTGTTTCAACACCGTTTCAGGTATGGTTTTTGGAGGTGCGGAGTCTGGAGGCTTGCATACCGTCAATTTGAGTTTGTGAGACCATGGGACTCATGTAAGGTGTAGCCTTCACGTCGCGGAAACTCATACCTGAACATTTCCGAGATCAATCGAATTCAACACAGTTGCAAGCTTGGGACCCTAGCCCTGCCGCCAATCATTCGTGCCTGTTCTGGGAATGGACTGCAGGGGGATCGGATGCAATTCAAAGTATTTATATGTATATTTGCAGTCTGCAAGGCTGCACAAGCCTACCCTTTTGGGGAGTTCTTTAGAAACCAAAGGGGAACCGACCTTCGTTGGAGGTTCCAATCGAAACACCCTCAGCTGCAACTTGCAAGCCTCTACGGCACCATGCACATACAAACACATACACACACAGACACGGAGACACACGGACACACACACACACGCACACACACACCCACACACACACACACACACACACACACACACACACACACACACACACACACACACACACACACGCACGCGCACGCACACGCACACCCACACGCACACGCACACGCACACGCACGCACACGCACACGCACACGCACACGCACACACACACACACACACACTTGTGAAATCCTCCTCTCTCGGTCCTTGTTGTGTCTCATCATGTCTTCTGCGAGGGTCAGGATCAAGCCCAGCGGGCACACTCTAGGTTCGGATCATGCACTTATAATTGTAGCTCAAGTGGAGTTTCGTCATCCTTGGGCCCTACTCGTCAGGGCCACAGACTAGACCCAAGGATGGCTGTGGCCTACTCCACATAATTGGAAAAAGAAAACGGAGATTCCGGACAGCTGGCACTACCTTGACAAGTCACAAAGAACTCAGATCAGCCCTTGGCAACAGGGATGGACACACACAATCAGCCGTGTGGCACTTATTTCGCCACGGCTCACAACAGTGGATGTAAAACGCCCGCGGGCCAACATAAAATGTACAAGACATCAGAAGTTCTGGGCACATTCACAGGCATGCCTAGCACGCCGGCGAAAAAGGCTCCAAACCCTGTGACCTGTACAGAGCCAGACGTGCTGCAGTCACCGCGAGAAACGTGGCAAAAGGGCCAAGGGATTCCGCTTGCGCAAAGCGGGAAAAAGAAAAAGAACAAAACAACAAAAAGAACAAACAGATCCGAGATGCTCCACTAACGCCGGGGCCCCGGCCGGGTATTTGAATCACCCGCGGGCCAGAAAAAGCAACGGTTTGCTGCAGGTCCAAATGGCAAATTGCAAATTGCCCCCGAAACAGCAGCAAAAGAATACATCGGGGGATAATGGCCTCTCAGACCCAATGGGCATGCTGGCTTCTGAGGCGATAGACATCGCTGGCTTTCTCTGTTGTGCTGTACAGCACCAACCATGGAATGGCAGCAAAGCGGGAAGACTCCCAACGCCTGGCGGAACAAAGGCAAGTTCCAAACTCACCTGGGGACCTCAAGGGTAAAGCTGACATCTGAGGGTCAACTGAATGACCAATGCTGCGCGCGAGCCGATGGCAAGGCTCAATCAAACACAGTAGGCTATCCTACCGCAGGCAGCCCGTTAAACGAACTACTGCCTGGATCACACTTGTGAAATCCCCCCCTCTCTCGGTCCTTGTTGTGTCTCATCATGTCTTCTGCGAGGGTCAGGATCAAGCCCAGCGGGCACACTCTAGGTTCGGATCATGCACTTATAATTGTAGCTCAAGTGGAGTTTCGTCATCCTTGGGCCCTACTCGTCAGGGCCACAGACTAGACCCAAGGATGGCTGTGGCCTACTCCACATAATTGGACAAAGAAAACGGAGATTCCGGACAGCTGGCACTACCTTGACAAGTCACAAAGAACTCAGATCAGCCCTTGGCAACAGGGATGGACACACACACACATATACACACACACACCCACACACACCCACACGCACACGCACACGCACACGCACACACGCACACGCACACGCACACGCACACGCACACGCACGCACACGCACACGCACACGCACACGCACACGCACACGCACACGCACACGCACGCGCACGCGCGCACGCGCACGCACGCACGCACACACGCACACACGCACACACGCACACACGCACACACGCACACACGCACACACGCACACACGCACACACGCACACAGCACACAGACACAAACACACAGACACACAGACACAGACACAGACACACAGACACACAGACACACAGACACACAGACACACAGACACAGACACACAGACAGACACACACACACAAAAACACAAACACAAACACAAACACAAACACAAACACAAACAGAAACAGAAACAGACACACAATCACAAACACAAACACAAACACAAACACAAACACAAACACAAACACAAACACAAACACAATCACAATCACAAACACAAACACAAACACAAACACAAACACAAACACAAACACAAACACAAACACAAACACAAACACAAACACACACAAACACAAACACAAACACAAACACAAACACAAACACAAACACAAACACAAACACAAACACAAACACAAGCACAAACACAAACACAAACACAAACACAAACACACAGACGCAAACATACGCACACACAGACATACAAACACACAAGCACACAGACACACAGACACGCACACATAGACACACACTCATAGACACACACACACAGGACGCATACGCACACACACACACACAGGACCCATACGCACACGCACACCCACACCCACACCCAAACGGCCAAGCACAAGCACAAGCGCACGAGTTCACGCACGCAGCGGAAGGGGACTGCACAAGCTTATCTTTTTAACACACTTTCTCTCTGGGTTGGAAAGCAAGCAAAAAGGAACCCCTTGTGGGAGGCATTCCCGCTTGCTCCTTACTGATGCGCTGATAGTGATGTTCAAGACCTGGGAGAAGATCTTAAGGTTCATTGCGGGCTTAGCCTGGCTTTGCTATATGGCTGTGGTTGTCAAAACCGATGGGATCCCATGTTGGGGGATTGGTGCACCACCCATTTTAGAACCTATTTTAGTTGGGATGTTCACTGGAGGTACGGGATTTTGACCCATGGCCATATGTCAGTGC